TCGTCCGCATCATCGATTCGCAAGCTATCATCTCATTTGCCCTGATTGTTCTTTACCGAAAGATAGTTGAGGCTGTGCCAGGTCAGCAGGGAGCAGTACCATGGGTTCGGCAGCTCTCGAGAATAGCTCTATCTCGAGAACCAATGGCAGATCTGATCATTCCAAGGTTATCTTCATTACGAAATCCATGCACATGTGAGGCCTGATTAAAACTCATAAAAAACCTGATAGAGTCCCCATGATATTAAGATCGCCAGGCACGAGTCACCTGCTGGCCCATTAACCTCGGATTGCATCAGCAGCCAACATAAATCTGGTTTGACTAGACCCGCGTACATCATATAAACACCCATGGACCATTTTTACGTATTTGGAGTAGTTATGTGAGGGATATATTATGTACTTAAATCTCTTTTCATCTATCAATCATACATTTGATTACGTTCACAAAGCGCCATAGCACCATAATAACACTCTGACGGGGTATTATCTCTGCCCTGTGGGGAATGCAATCGGAGACCACCCTTAACCCCCAAATTCGACTTTATTTCTCCGAAGTCCCCGTCCCGGGATCCTCCTCATGAGTTATTTTTGTCCCCTCACGAGTGTGGGGGAATGACACATGGAGTTACTGGTTACTGTATGGAGTAGTTCGAGTATTACTGGAAAGAGATGCATTTCCGGAATGTTGTAGTACATAGTGTGATTCAATATCAAAGTACCCCTTACGGACAAGATACACAAACCCCTGAGCCGAGACCTATCATGCAACAAGCTTGGCCTTCCAGAAGGGTCTCCACAGTGCGTCTTTTTCCGGCGCTGTATGACACACTGTTTCTGGGTGTAGCCTGTCGGAGAGGGGGAATGTGTGGAGGGATTTCAATCTGTTTATTGTGATTTTGTATTCTGTGTCTGTGTTACTGAAATCATACTGTACCTAATAGTTCCACTGTTTAGACATACCTATGTATATTTGTATATGTAGACATACTAGCATGTGAATTAGAACGAGATAGATACGGCAAGTCCGGCCCTCGGTATCTTGTGCGCCGAGGGATATATACATATGTAGCTAGATAAATATAAGAGATTGAGACGGAGTATAAGAAAATACTATAACAAATTACTTCGTATCTTACGACAATTCGATTACAAACGGTCTGCGCTGATTCCTCCCAAGACAAACCCCACCCCCTCACTCCATCCGGTGAACGCAAGTAGGAATATCCCGTTTCGGTCAGATTCCGGGGAAAACTTACGCTGGGGAATTTCGGGTATAATTTCACCATGACTTCGACTTCGATTCAATCCGCCAGAGATCGTCTTTCCTCCCTATCATCACACATCATGGGTTCCTCCAGTCCTTCAGTATTTACCGCGGCCACTGTGGCTGCCGCCCCCGAAGATCCCTTGTTTGGCCTCATGAAGGCCTATCGCGAAGACCCCTCCGATAAAAAGGTTGATCTGGGTATTGGTGCCTACCGTGACAACAACGCGAAGCCCTGGATCTTGCCTGTTGTCAAGAAGGTAATATCTATTCCCTTCACTTTTCTATCTCTATGCAGTTATCTAACCTCCATCTATAGGCCGATGACGCCATCCACAACGATCCCACCCTCAACCACGAATACCTCTCCATCGGCGGTCTCGCAGACTTCACCTCCGCAGCCCAGAAACTGATCGTCGGCGCAGACAGCCCTGCAATTCGTGAAAAGCGAGTATGTACCTCTCCCTCCTCCCATATCCCTTCCAATAACCCCCCGGCCTCAGGGCCAAACTAACCCACCCCACTAGATCTGCTCCCTGCAAACAATCTCAGGCACCGGCGCCGTCCACCTCGGCGGCCTCTTCCTCTCTAAATTCCACCCCCAAAAGCCCGCAATCTACCTCTCAAACCCAACATGGGCAAACCACAACCAAATCTTCACCAACGTCGGCCTGACCCTAGCAAAGTACCCCTACTTCTCCGTCAAGACAAAAGGCCTTGACTTCACCGGCATGATCGCAGCCCTCGAAGCCGCCCCCCACGGCTCCGTAATCCTTCTACACGCCTGCGCGCACAACCCAACAGGCGTCGACCCCACCGAAGACCAATGGAAGCAAATCGCAGAGCTAATGCGCTCCCGCTCCCACTTCCCCTTCTTCGACACCGCATACCAAGGCTTCGCATCCGGCGACCTGGTGCGCGACTCCTGGGCCATCCGCTACTTCGTCGAGCAGGGCTTCGAGATGTGCGTCGCGCAGTCTTTCGCCAAGAACTTCGGTCTTTACGGTGAGCGCACTGGCGCTTTCCACTTCGTCTCTGCTCCGGGTCCGGACGCGGCTGCTGCGTCTGCGCACATCGCTTCCCAGCTTGCCATTCTGCAGCGATCGGAGATCTCCAACCCGCCTGCTTACGGTGCCCGTATTGCTAGTCGCGTGCTCAATGATCCCGAGCTCTTTAAGGAGTGGGAGGCGGATTTGCGTACGATGAGTGGCCGCATTTTGGAGATGAGACAGGGACTGCGGGAGCGTCTTGAGAAGCGTGGTACGCCTGGTTCATGGGATCATATTACTTCTCAGATTGGAATGTTCAGTTTCACCGGCTTGTCTGAGGAGCAGGTTATGACGCTGCGCTCCAAGTGGCATGTCTACATGGTATGTTTTGACTTTCTTTTTGGTGTATTGTATTGGATATACGTCTAGGATTGCGCTAACTCTCTTTTCCCTACCAGACAAAGAACGGCCGCATCTCAATGGCCGGCTTGAACACAAATAACATCGACTACTTCGCCGAGGCGGTTGATAGTGTTGTTCGCGAGTCTGCTAAGTTGTGATACATACCTGATACCCCGGGCTTGACATAGAGTGGAAACACTCAGAGACTTGGTCTGGCGTTCTACTTGCTTTTTGAAAGCTTTTTTTTTTTTTTTTCGAAGTTCGGAAAGACTTTCGTTATGCAGCAAATTACCATACTGTGGGACTTCGGTCTTGCTTTCGCATTCCTGAATCCTTCACGGAGCACTCCGTTCTACTCCGTAGATGGTGGGTCTGGGTGGCATGATATATATCACATGCATCACATGTAAACCTTAAGACTATAGCAATGTGGTAGTACGGGACTAATTTTTCAATGGTTTCTCTGCAGTATGCCAATATAATCGACGCCTCGTTTGAGATATGATTCCCATTCATTTGGCCAGACCGGCCGTCAATAGTAAGATGCAGCCAGACAAAATAATTACGGCATCCTAATTGAGCAAGAGACTTCGAGACAAGATGCTACATTTTAATGAAATAGACATAATGGTATCTGGTATCGTATAAAAATGCTTTCCATGAAAGCATCGGAGATAAACCTGTTCAGCAGTATCGGGACTAAAAGACCAAATCCCAAACCACAAGCCAGGTACACAACCCAACAGTCCCCCAGAAGACAGCCTGCGCTGTACTCCGTCGCTCAGTAGCACGCTTCAACTCACGATTTCCCTGTCCGACATTTGTCTGTGTCGTATCCACATCCGAGACAAGCTGAGAAATATGCTCCTCCTGCGTAGCGAGATGAGAGACAAGCGTTTCCTGCAAAGAGGAGATCTCAAGGAGAGATTTCTCAGCGTTTCTAGAAAAAAAAAAACAAAAAGAGCCCGTATTAGCATCATCCAACAAAACCGACCCCAAACCCGACCATAAAAAGAGGGAAACATACTGGACCTTCCCCAACGTATCCTCATAATGCCTAAGCATAGAATCATTCTCCTCAGCAAAAAGCTGCAACTGCTCCGGCGAAAGCTGCGCCTCGATCCGCGCCGTATCCGCCTCACTCAGAACCGTCGCATCAGGCGCCTGGAAAGTAGGACCGAAGGAACCTACACCCGCAACGCCAGCTCCAGTCCTCTCCGACACAGAAACAGACCCCTTCCGAGGCCCAGTGCCATTCCCACCGGCAGGTTTCCCCGCAGCGACCTTGTAAAGTACACTCTTCTCCTTCTCCCGTACCCTCTCAATCCTCTTCTCCACCATCCGACGCTGCACACCGACGGCACACTCAAGCCCGCGCCTCAGGAACCAAAGCACGCTCTCGCGGACCGTCGCTATCGACCGCGCGCTCTCCTCTGCGCGGATCTGTTCAGTGGATTTACCCTCGTTGTCTGCACTGGTGCTGTCTAGTGCACCGCCCCCGCCGGCCCAGCGCCAGAGGAGGGCGCCGGCGGCGGAGTGACCGTATTTCTTGTGGAGGAGGGTGGAGGATGTTTCTTGGCGGAGGGATTCTGCGGAAGAAAGGTTTGCGATTGAGGTTGCTAGGTCGCGGAGGAGGAGGGCTGTTGATGTGTCGACTTCGTCGCGTTCGGGGTCTGTGAGGTTTGTTTGGGTGTTGGCGGTTGGGGGTGCATTTTTGGGGTTGGGGGTTATTGCGTTTTGGCGGCGTTGTGGTTGCGTTGTTGAGAGGTAGGCGTGGCGGATTGATTGGAGGTATTGAAGGAGGGAGTGGATGTGTGAGTTCTGGGTGTACTTGTGTTAGAGGTTCTTTCTGCTTTGCGGGTTGTTGGGTATAGTGGGTGTGATTGAATGCGGAGGACGTGGCTTACAATTCGGTATGCCTCCTTTAGGAACTCGTCGGCGGTTTCTGTGCAAGGTTTTCTGGTTTGGGGGATTGATGAGTTTTGCTTTGAAAGCAAGTTGTTGAGGGTTGGTGTTAGGTCGGTCATTGTGGGAGTGGCATGGTCTGAAATGTGTGTAGTGTTGCTATACTGTACACTTGTCGATCAACATCCAACGTCACTGCGCGGGTGGTCTATCCCGCACCCCGTATTTGTTTGTTCCTGGGGTACGGAGTACTTGGAGCAGAGATGGGATGCGGAATGTCACTCACCAGTTATTTAAATTGCTTTAGTATTTGTTTCTCTTGTTTTGCGTCATGCAACTCATCAATTCTCAAGTGGTATTACATCTACACAGAAATAACCTATCTGTCTAACCAATACACTACATGACCTACATCGCGTCCATCACGTCCATCTACAATGGAGGAAGGTCAAGTCCATCTTTTGCGAGTCTGTCCTGGAGGCCCAGAGGGTGATGGTACGCTTTCAGATATCCTAAGCGACAGGCGCATGTCCGACGAAGAAGTGCGAGGGGTTGCCTCGAGCTACAGCCACATGAGCAGGTTCGTCTTCCCCACACGGCTAGGCTGGGTCAAAAGCAATGGTGTGTGTCTGTATGCCATCGACGATCACAAACCGTACGAGTACGAACTGAGGCAGGTCCCTGAAAATGTGAGGGATTGGGAGGAGACTGCGACTGCTTTAGCTTGTGGGGTGTTGGTAAATGGTGTGGTCTATGACCCTAACCAGATGCTTAAGATTAGGCAGCGTTTGGGCGAGGACCGTCATCGTGAGATTAATTTGAGGTTTAGGACATGGGGAAGTAGTGTTAATGGCCTCTGGATTGGAGGCACAGCCGAATTTGAGACCGAGAAGAGAGAGACTGGAAAGACAAAGAACTGGGAGACCGATACTGAATAGGAGACTGGAGAGACACGGGATGGCTTTGTTATGGACATCTAGCCCACGCATCAAGCATGTCTGAATTGAAACAAATCGAACACATCGACATGTATCAACTTATTTACTTCGTTGATTATGGGGCCTTGGGGATATTGACAGGACATCATAAAGGATGACCAGACCAGGGATCAATCAATCATCAATTATATATATTTGCAATTCGGTCTTTTGCTTCCATTTTCGCGCCCACTCATTGGCTGTTGAGCCTGCTGCCACTTGTAATAACCATAAAACTGGAGTCTGATATGACCATTCTTGTAGTTGTCATCCCCAGGTCTGCAAGGGTGGCGACAACCCTGCAGGCTAGGGACTAGCATGACATACTACACTTGATAGGTCATAAGTACGTTTTTCTACAAGAATCTGGAATTCTAAACAAAGACTAAGCATAAATCACCTTGTAATTGGCGGAAACATATGTCCATGTGTCTATACCTCTAACATTAAACGTATCGTTTGATGGCAGACAAGGAATCAGGCAGGTTTCAGATATGCCGGTCAGACGTCACCTTAGCGACACGGCTTGATAGTTTGCCTCTATTGTATCAGATATATTTCTTGCTTAAAAGTAACTTCATCTGCGCTTTTTTCCAAAATTTATCAAATCCAACAATTACAGCTTCCATCATACGCACATCCAAGATGGCGCGTCCACCTCAAATCAAGCGTCCAGCAGCAACATCTACTGAGCTGCCCACCCTAAATTCAACCCCATCCATCACACGGTCGATCACTTCATATCCCATGCCTTGCCAAAAAGACCCGCTAGTGCCAAGCTTTGGCAATGCCACCGATGCTACATATGACCAAATCCGCGACCACCACCACCAAGTCAAGGCAACACTCACGAACATCCTCAACGACGACCGGGTGAAGCATAATCCTAGCGGAAGTCGCTGTGTGCAGAGGATACTGTTGGAAAACGAGCAGGATATGCGGAAGCAACGGAGACATTCACTTAATACATGTTCTGCTAAGCGAACCACGCTATTGTACATGGACTAGCAATATAAGAATCAACCATGCTTCTTCTCGTTATTACCAGGGGAAATGAGTATTAGTGGATCCCTATTTAATCTCGGCAACAGACTTCTCAACATCTCCGATCGTATGTTTTCCCAAGCGAAGCTTCTTCCTGATTTAGGTGGTCCACAAGCCTACCTACTATGTTCACCAAAACCTAAGTGTAAACCGAGATCCAAAGAGAATCACATTAGTATTCCTCATACACACGTCGTATTTTCATGCTAAATATGCAAAACAGGGTATAGACAAAGAAAAAGAAAAAAACCATGCTAATATCAACAGAGAAGAAAATCCAATCGTGCATCAAATCATAGAGCGTTCTTCCACCCATATCTAAGCAACCGTCAGAAAATGCGATTCTCAAAAAAGTCATAAAGGACAGATAGACTCACCTCGATCTTCCCCATCTCACTTCTCTCCCGCTTAGCAACCTCCAACGCCGAACTAACCAGCAAATCCAAATCTTCCTGGTCTACCATAGTAATCATGTCCCCATCATCCTGCACCTTCATCTTCAGAGGACATTTGAACCCGAACTTCTCACGAATGCGGTTCTCAAATTCCCCAAACTCAATCTTCGGCCCAATCATGATATACCTAGTATCATCAGGGGCGTGTACTTTAACTCTAAATTTCTGAATCTCCGGTCTTCTTGGATTCGCATGGCGGGAGTATCGCACCGGAGAACAAGTGCGACGTTGTTGGGGTGACTGACTCGGACCAGCTTGAGCGGCGACGAGCTCGAAAGCACCGTCGTTGAGGGTCGATGCATCGCATGTGTCGCTGCCATATTCTTCCTCTTCGTCGATGTATTGCGGTGGTTGGTGGCGGGATCCACGACCCCAGCCTGTGTTTGCTAGATTGCGCTGGCTTGAGTATGGATCGTACTGGTCTGTATGTCCGTAGCCTGGTTCCCGTGCGTAGGTTGTGCTTGAGTCGCTGAGGTTTCTGCGGTGGCTGACTTGTTCGCGGGTTAAGCTGCTTCGACTGCTTTCCTGGTATCCGCGCATGTTATTTTGTCGCAAGGATGGTCCGCGCGGCTCTGAGGCTGTTCGCGTCGTTCCTATCCGTGGTTTCTCGGTGGCTGTTTGTTCTTGTGGACAGGGTCGTCGGCAGTCTAGGCTGGCACCTGCGCGATCTAGGTCTAGACGGGGTGGGCGGACGTCTCGGAGAGATGATGTTCGGTGGTGTCCGGATCCTGATCCTGATCTCGAGGCTGTGCTGACGGATCGGTCGTCTGGTGGTGGTGTTGGGGGGAATACGTTGCGGTTTAGGGGTGGTTCGGATTGTTGACGAGTACGGCTGCTGAGGTTTTGGCGGACTAGGTTGGATGCGGCGAAGGAGACTCCCTCACGGCCGCGGAGGGCTTCTTTGTCAATTACCATTGGATTCCATTGGTGGTCTGATGATTGGTTGCGGTCCGATGCGGCAACTAGGCGAGCCTTGCCTAGGTAGTCTTTTGTTTTGAGATTCTTGACTTTGGCTGCGTTGGGACGATAGAGAACGCCCACTGGGATTGAGAAGACGGTATAGCCCTGTATTTAAATTAGCTTGTCTCGCAGCGGATTAGTAAAATCCACATACATCAGCATTTTCCCGGATAGCATCGTCAATCACATCGTGGTCTGGAGTAACCTTTTCCTTGGCTGCATACTCGAGGTCCTGGATGCCTGGGTTCATTTGACGGAGGTAGACATAGCAGAGACCGCGATTGAACAGGACTTCGCATGAAAAGAGGCGGAATCGGAGACCCAACTGTTCATAGTCGATAGAAGTATTCCCTCGTAGATACAGCAAAGTGTCATTAAAGTTGGCCAATGCTTCTTCGAAGTCGCCGATCAAGAAATTAGATACACCTTGCTGAAAGTACGCGATTGCCAGATACCGGTCTAGGCCGACAGCACGTTGATAGCATTCTACCTGCAGCGAAATCAATGAGCTGTAAAAAAAAAGAAAAAAGAAAAAAACTTCCCATGAATTGACTTACTGCTTTATGATGTTCGCCTATCGTTGCATAGATCACTCCGCAGTTGAACAAAATCTTTGACGTGTCGGCAATCTGATCGAAGCATCGCAAGGACTCTTCGAATTCTTGATTGTCATAGGCATCAAGGGCCTGCACCCATGTTTCGATTTCCTATTCGACCGCGATGTCAGTGTGTTTAATGTTCCGATATCACAACATATACACTTACTTGTTTGAGCGACATTGTCCCGGAACCTGGTAATGTATTTGTCCGAGTCTCCTGTGCCTAGATGACATGGATTGGGGAAAGACGTTGTAGGTACTTTCCATCCAACTCTCTAGGGCACGGTAATATTTCCGTAAGTGTCCGCCAGCTTGTGGGCTCACCAGCGCAAAGCCGGGAAACCGCAAGTAAAATATAATCGCCAATGGATGGCCAAGAACTCAGTCGGTGTGACGAAAAAAACCTTAGGGTTGATAAAGGGGCCAAGAAGCACCTGATGGGGCGGAACGAGCGGGGAGAGAGGCGGGTTGGCGGGTTGAAGTCCAATCCTCCGTACCGTAATGTGATATCCCGAGATGGAGGTGAAAAGGCCCGGATACCAGGAAATGTTATTTATAGACTTAGGTATAATCCCAGAATCGGTGATATCAGAATTTGAGGAAGTAATTGGTTTAACCTGACGGTTGGAGAGTGGAGATGAGGGGGGACCCAGCAACTTGGACAGAAGGATTGTAGGGTTAACGGGATTAGGGATTAGGGGATAAGGAATAAGGGGAAGAAAGAAAGCCCCAAAAAAGAAAAGATGAAATTGACGAGAAAAATAAATCGAAAACAAATCAAAAAAAGAAAACAAAAAGCCCAAATCTCAGAGAACCTGCAGAGGGGCTGCATGGAGGGGCAGGGGGAGAAAGAGGTAAGTACTGGAAAAGGCTACTTTGACCGAGTGATGGGACAAAAATAACCCGCTTTGCTGCAGGAATTTATGCACGTCTTGGTCAATAGGATCTCACAGAAGCGGTTTCGTACTGCCGAGCCTGTGAGTGGGCAGATTTTCGATAGTATATGGTCGTGGCATATTCCATGAGCTTTGATGTCCTCTTTTTGACTTTGGAATTCTATAATTGATAATTGAATGGTGACCCATCACATAGGATCGCGTCTGGACAGTGCGGGGACTTTCTCTTGGAAGTTGAATCTGGTCTATCGCATGGGAGAATTCACCATTCATTGGTCCTCGGCCCCCCTGTCACTCAAGTCATTCCCCGCCACGGCGCTTGCAGTGCTTTATTTACCGATTCCTGAAAAGGAAGTAGGATTTCTCCAGATAAATTGTTGCGACGTACATCGTCCTACAGACATCGTCCTAGGCTTTCTCCACAAGCCTATATATATATACACTCCATGACCTTTCCCTTTTCGTTTTAGTGCTCACCCTCGAGATTTGACCGGTGTTCCATGGTTCGTTTTGAGGTGTTACGCAAACTTTCTGTTATCCCTCATGTCTGATTGAAGTGGATGACTTGGTATCTTGGACTGGACATGACGTGTGTTAGGTTTGTCATTGTCCTCTTGCCAAGTGGCAGTCGGTGGTGCATTCGGCTAACGGCCGATGACCCAAATACACCAGTCGGTCCACATCAACACCCCAACAGTAAGAAATTGTGCCACAATTGATGCCGATGCACATCCATACAATTTACCTGCGGTCACAGGCTATGCCAGCTAGAGGTTGTCTAAGTGTTCACTTCTCATGGGTCATTATGGGCCCGGCCCGATCCGCCCACCGATATTGATATCCACGGATGAACTGTTGACAAGAGACCATTCTTCAGCGCATACAGACAGCACAGTACAAAAATAGACATATTGGTCGAAGGGTCAAATGTGACAATCTAGGTGTTGTTCATTTGTTAATCTCCATAAAGGCTTTCAGGCCGGCACAGAGCTTGCTCAATCGCAGGACAAGTTATTGATATCGCAGTGCGTTTCGAGTCCACCAGAAGACTGGTAATGTTAAAGCATCTTTCGACCTTCGGACCTCAATCCTATAGCGAAAGGGATCAGCACATTCTAGGCCCGTTATAAGCCTGAATTATAGGCCAGAATCTCTCCGGAGTCCGCCGCCATGCGGGGCCTGCAAGACGGCACATCTGCAATACACACAGGAAACATCCCATCATGTGAGAGCATAGAGCACTCCACAGGTATAAGTTTTCAGGCTGAATGGGGTGCTTGGCATGGGTCTAGGTATACAAAAATACACACAAAGGGACACGGTGAGTTGAAAAAGCCAAGAGGCCCCAAGTCACGGATGGTCGTTCTGTGATATGACCTGGTGAATGCCGCCCAAAGCGCCATATAAATAATCATTGGCCATCAAGGACTCTTTTGCTCAGTGGTCCACTACCATGCACTGACTTTTATATTTAGCAACTGCAATCTCCGCTTTCTTTTCCCTACGCTTGTAGATCAGTTCCAACCGGAAGCTGTCGACTGCCTTGAATGTGATTTGTGCTGCATAAGTACCTCCTGTGTTGTATCTAATTGTTAGGTAGATGGTCTCTATAATTAGGTGGACTCTCCGCCACCAGGCCTTCGATAATTGGTCTACGATACTATTGGCTTGATGCCAGTGACCGTGCAGTCGACTTCTAGTTGATCGCCCACGTAATTGTCGTATTAATGCATAAAGCAAGAAGTTAGATCCTTTGATTGACCCGGTGAACTCCATAGTCGGTCAAGCCTAATGCCCGGAGCTTAGCCTGATATGCTCGCAAACACGCAGACACCCTCTACCTATCCATGTATATAGGTAGGGCTGTCAGACCCACCCAGCCCCACTTGCACGTTGAGCCATTTGCATTATGCATGACTGTACCTTGCCTTGCAATTCTATTTGCGTGTTCAGACTGCAAAGGATTGGGAAGCCCGAGATAACCCTGCAAACAACAATGATATCAGTATCTATGTGTGGGGTTTCTACTTAGATTACAAGTAAGTGCCCGAACTTCAGTCTGCCTAGAGGTATGATAGTGGCCGTCTAGTGACCTTGTGTGCCCATTGGAAACTCAATAAAGGTGGCGTGCAGTATCTTGGCTGTTTGCCGAAGTCGTCGCTCTAGCACGAATGCCTCGGTTTCTAGGAATTCCCATCTATCGCGCATGGTCTGTCAGCAGAATTGTATCATATCTCTCGTCACAGTCCGTGCGAGAAAGAAGGAAATAGTTGCATATATTCCTGCAGGGATATCACTCAACGTCCGTCTATATGGGTATTTCGTTTACTTCCATCAGCCTTCACGCCTATCTCTTTAGCGGCGAGATTGAGTTGAGTTTTGATATACATTTCGAGTAGCATGAGCTATACCAAGCCTTTACAGAGTGGATATCTTTGTTTCCAAGGTTATCTTTATATGTTATTAATTGAGCAAAAAAGGCGAGCACATGTGGACACGGGAAGCAATGTCAACTTTGATGAGGAAAACAAGGATAGACAATCTATTTATATCAGAAAATGACTAGCTAATGCCGGTAACAGAGATTATGTCCATAATCTCCATGTGGACTCCGGAGTAGTGGTTGGTGGTCGAGTACCCCACCCCGGCGCTTAAGAGCTTTTTTTGGATCAAGGAAGGTTTTCGAAAAGCAGGGATAACTCCGTAGCGTCCTTGAGACGGGATTACGCAGCGCTAACTAAATTAGACATCGACTAAAATTCAGGTACACCGAGCAAAATATAGGTAAGTTCCAAAATTCGGCCGGCAATATTCTCAGCCGAGCTTTGATTATTCAACGCTGAAGATGACTATAGAAACTGAAACATATAGGGAATACTTTATTTACAGCTTAGCAACCATCTTGTTGCCCTTTTGGAGCAGAACAGCGGCATCTCCGACGAGCTCATCAACGATAGCCTTGGCAGACTTCTTCTCATTTACAACGGCGGCAACCTTACCCATCAAGTAGGGACGGGCATTGTCCAAAGTGTCGTCATCGACATCATCGGGCAAGTTCTCCATATCGTGCTCGACGGGGATGATACCCTTGGAGGTGAGTTGCTTGATCTCTTCGTGACGGTTCTCCTCCCAGTTGACAATGTAAGGGTTCTTGCGAACACGGAGGGGACGACCCTATACCCTTTGTTAGCAAGCTGACCATCTTGATAATAGGATAGCCAGGAAATACATACAGTGAAGATAATAGTACGAATGTTATCCTCGAAGTTGGAAGTGCGAACAGCCTCTTGGTGAGCGGTGGGGGCTCCAGCCTCATCAGACAGGATGAAGCGGGTACCGATCCAGACAGCGGAGGCGCCGAGCATAAGGGCAGCAGCAACTGAGTTACCGTTGAAAAGACCACCGGCCGCGATGACCTGCACGGGCTGGCCAGTCAGAGGGCTCTTCTTGCCCTCGACCAACTTAGCAACGGTGGGGATGAGGACGGTGGTGGGGACATCACCGGTGTGACCACCGCCCTCACCACCCTGGGCGCAGATAATATCAACGCCAACATCAAGGGCCTTTTGGACATGCTTAGGGTGGCCGATCATGTTCATGCAGAGGATGCCGGCACTGTGGAGCTTATCGACAACAGCCTTGGGGGGAACACCGACAGCAGAGACGAAAAGGCTAGCCTTTTCCTGGATGATAATATCAACGAGCTCGCCGAGCTTGCCCTTGGTGTAGTCGTAGCTATTTGCCGAAACATAACGCGATTAGCATGTGCCAACAACGGAAAAAGTACCTCAGTGATCGAAGGTTCTTACTTGGTCTTGCGGGCACTGCCGCCAACCTGGGGAAGGAGAAGGTCGACACCGAAGGGAGCGTTCTTGTCGTTCAGGTAGCTCTTGAGCTCGGCGACTTGCTCACGGAGCATCTCGGGGGTATAGCCAACGCCACCGATGACACCGAGACCACCGGCGTTGGTGACAGCGGCGGCCAGCTTGGGCCCCGCAGCCACGTTCATGCCTGCCAGCAGGACGGGGTGGTTGATCTTGAGCAGATCAGTGATCGGGGTACGGATTTGTTCTATTTAGTGGTCATGGTTAACATCGGATATTGTGGCCATGTGCCTATGTGGAGCCCTCCGCAGGAGATCACATGAAAATAATGGGCAGAGTAAAGTATAACCTTGGAAGACACTTACGAGGAGACGCCATTATGAAGGTATGTGGAGTGAAGGTAATGAAAAAAAGAAAACCTGGGGAAGAGGAGGGATGGGGTTGCAGCCAACCTATAAAGCAAAACAACCTCGGTGGTTCACAGACTCGCGATGAGCCTCGGTCCACACGATTTGACCGAGAGATTAGTCACGACGTTACCGCAGCGGGGATCGAGTTTGACACCTGAGGCAGGAACTTTCACGTGTCTACCCTAGAACGCAGATTCCGCGCGATGGCTCCCTACACACCCCTCGTGGCCTCGGATGTCCTGTCACCCGAATAGGCCCTAACTCTTGCCATAAAGCAACGTCGATGTTCGTACAACCATCTATGGTGACAGCACATCGTCGACAAAGTCATCAAATCGGATAAATAGCCCATGTGTAACACAGCAAGGAATGCTAGGATTTGCATCCATCTTGGACTTAATGAATGGGTTGGATGGCCCTTTACAATTTTTCTAGCAAAAGGCTGTCAGATCTACTGCTCCTTAGGGTCAAAAGGTAACCCTTGGCAGCTACATTCCACATAGTGGGGTTTCAGGAACACAATATTTACAAGAAACGAAAAGATGGAAGAACATGCGACCATAGTTTGCTTGTGTCGGTCGACAACCAATGGTGGAGCGGAAGGGGAGAAAAACAATGGATTCACCTATCTACCGCTGGAGAGAAGGAGAGAGAAGGAGAGAAGCGATCAGTCCTGTAGAGAAGCAAGGTTCTATGTAATATATGCTTGAACCAGAGTTTCAACGCAACTCACTTTAAAAGTCCCCGTGATGTTGTTTCATCTGAATTCCCAATTTACGGAGACCGATATAAAGCCCGGGTATGTTAATTACAATAGCAAAAAACCAGCCCACGCATGCAAGGCGAATCAGACGAACATCAAATTATACCTGCGCCTAGATGGTCGGGATATTTTCTCATTTAACACATTCTCATTCTTGTATGGTGCTAGTGATACTTGATAAGCTCACTGCTAAACTGTAAACATCGACTTCTGCAGAAGTTTATATACATATCCAAGGGTTGGTTCATCAAACCCAAGGAGGCAGTAATATTCTGCAATCATAAAAAAAAAAAAAAAAAAAACAAAAATCCATCGGTCCTGCCGGTTTCAAGAAAAGAAAAGACGCGAGAATTTATCCCAGAGTCAGAGTGAAACCAGCGTCCAGGGAGCAGGAGTAGGTGTTCACATCATCTGGGAGCTGATAAGCATCCTTGCAGTCCGCATCGCCAGCGGCACAAGAGACGGTCTTGCAGCTCGAGTCACTGGGGACAACGGTGAAGCCCGACTTGACAAACTCGGAAGTCGAGTCGAGATCGATGGAGGACATGTCCCAGTAAAGGGTCTCGCCGTCCTGGGTGTATTCGAACTGAAGAACGCTATCCTCGCTCTGGCTGGTCGACATCTTGATGGAGATACCACCACCGTTGGAGTTGGTGACCCAGTTCTCGCTGTAGTCACCTCCGGTGCTGAGGGTCTTCATGGACCCAGAATCGGATGAGGTGGTCCACAGGTAGACGTCGGTGTCCATGTTGTTGACGATCTGAAGACTGCCGCTGCCAGAATCGCGGGTCTCAACGGCACCGGATTCTCCGGATCGAGCGGAGTGGGGGAGGGCAGCAGCGGTGGCAGCGAGAAGGCCGGTAAGGAAGACGTTGAAAGTCATGATGGAAGATTGTAAATTGAGTGAGTGAAAGTGGTAAAGAATAGTTCACCTGGTTTACAGAGACACTAAAGTGACAGTAATGGAGGATTAACCTCGAATGAATGAATGTCTTCAAGAAAAAGAGTGACTTGAAGATCAGAGAATGTGTTTGAAGAAGGAAAGAAAAAGGAAGCCATATCTGCGGATGTCCATCCTTTTATTGTGCTCGGTGGAGTCATCCGGATGAGGATGAAACTTTGCAAGAGGACCAAAAAGATGCGAAGGATGTGGATAGACTACAATTATAGATGTGGGTTCAATCAATAAGGTTGGCTTCCGAGATCAGCCAGCCAATCAGAACATGCGGTTGAGATTTCCACAAACGGTCTCGAACGGCTTCGTCATCTCGAACACTTCGTCATCGGCTTTGCGAGTGGAACTCGCGGTTTCCAGAATTTCGATTCTTAAACTTCAGATCGATCCAATCATTCAACGAGTTCGGTTCGCCAAATAGAACACTTTGTTACCCCTCCGAAGCACATCTGAGAGGAAAAAGAATGGATACCTTACATCAGTTCTTCATGGCATCTTCCAAGATTGTCCACCTGGATCCGCAGCTGCCCGGCACTTTGACAGACTCGAATTCTACGTCAGTCTCATGTGGCAACCTTTTATCCGGACATACTACTTTCACCTATAGAAATCCTCAACCAATGCAGCCGGCTGATGATAACCATTCAAGGCTCCAAGTCGGTTCTTATCATCCACCGACTCAGCCACACTGTTTGCCACAGTATTCTGTGGGGCTAACATTTTAACAGTGAGCGTTAAAATGATTAGCCAGGGCTTGTTTCTCGCCGAGTTTCTCGCTGAGTCTTGTTCAATAATACCAAAGGAGTAAGCAGTTGCGGAGTAGTTTGCCTCCTTCGGTCAATTTCGGGCATGTCGGATAATATGTTCGAGTCTAATTTTCTCGCCTTTCCTACCTTTCTTGGTTTTCCCCTCGTAGGGCTAAATTCAATCTGAACCAGGGGTATTCGCTAGGCTGTGCTAAATGAAAAAATTCGAAAGAAATCTGAAAAATCAAATTATCATTCCTTTGCCCCTGTTCTTCAATGGAACTCGATCACAGGAAACACACTATGTAACAGCATGTGGAACATCCTTTTAATCGCTTATTAAGTCTCGCCTTGAATCCCTTCAATGTTTGCCTGAAGATTCTCCTGCGCAACCATTTGGCCTGGCTGAAAAGCCGTGGCAAAGATCTTCTCAAATTCATCATCAGAAAGAAGGCGCACCCCAACAAGCTCATTATCCAAAGTCTTGAACTCGGCCTCGAATTTGCCACCCAGGAGTGCAGCTTTCAACAGCGCAAGTGTTTTGAAGAGGTCCAGGTCGCTCTGCTTGGTGTTTTCGAGAATTGTCTCAAGCTCAGCTGCTGCATCCAATGGATCTTCGATCCATCTGACATCAGACCCCGAGTACTTCTTTGCCAGGTTCAAAACTTTGTTTTGAGTCAGGACAATGTCGTGAACGCTTACCAAGCGGTTTTTGGTTGCTTCGGCATTCTTCAGAGCCCCAGCAACGGCTTTCCCGACACTTGACACACTAGTGGAGCTGAAAGTATGCGCACCATTGTCATAAACTGGAGCAGTCTGAGTCTGCAGGTCGGTCAAAAATGGCATCGACATGACAAATTCCAGGAAGGGCCCAACAGCAAAAAGAGTGTACTCGATCTGTCCGTCCAGCGCCTTTTCTTTGAGATAATTCTGGATGTCAATCCATACCGCGTTAAGCGGAAGTGACTCTGCTCCAGGTCTGGTCGTAAGCGCCCCAAAATCGGAAGGGATGAAGCGTCGCACGCCAGCCTGAATGCTGGCATCGATAACCGTCTTCTGCGCGCTAATACCGGATGAACCGACGGTAGACACCACAGCATCCTGACCCTGGAGAGCGGCTACAAGACTGTCGATAGACGAATAATCGACTTGCTCGGTCTTCGTGCTAGAAGGGGTTTCATCTACAGAGCGAGCCGTGCGACTCAGCACCGTGACTTGGAAGCCAGCATTCACAAGCTGCTCCAAGATTGCGGATCCCAGCCATCCTTTCTGTTGACCACATATCAGTATAACAAACGTAACCATTTTATTTCCAGTAAACTAACCCCCAAGAGCGCGACGTTCCGGATAGGTTCCATGTTAGATGGAAGTGATGTTCGAAAGCGAAGTGTATATAGAGTAATATACCGAAGAAGAAGGTGAGGAACTATTGTGAATCGAAAGAGAAATATGTAAGTTCAAAATGAGATGACAATAAAGAAGACAAGTCAGTCTCTCCTCCTTTTATAGTTAGAAAGACGGCATGTATGGTATTCCATATGATTATCGACGGTATCTACAGGTAACTCATTCATAACATAGTAAATAATCTGATCACACCGTCAGCTCTATTCCCAATTAGACAAGTCAGTCGTGGTATAGCATCGATATTCGCGCTATTCCAGTTTGGGAAAGCCAGTCGTGGATTAGCGCTGCCATTCAGACCAATGAGGGGCCGTTTGCTGAAGGCTTACTCCACCTTCGCCTGAATCACCTTGGACAACCCAAGATTCACAATATATCTGACCATATCTCTACGGAGTACTGTCTCGGTAGTCATCTCGGCAGTCGCAAAGATAGCCACGGGGTGTTCTGTCAACAGCCAAGAGAAGGTTTGGTGCCCAAGCGGTAGTGCTGCGCCCATTGCATCGTTCTTTGACTGGATTATTTCGGATACGTCACTTTGCCACCATCATGGCATCTACCAGAGCTAGCCCGGCTTGTGGGAACTGCAGATCTAGGAGAATCAAGGTTGGCTTCTCACTTCCACAAAAATTCCCCAGCCTTGTGCGCTCCACTAATCTCTCTCGATAGTGCAATCTTCTCCGGCCAAGATGTAGCCAGTGCGCTCGAGCCGGTCTAAGCTGCACTGGTTATAGGTCTCAGTCAGATCTACTTTTTCGAGATCAGACTAAGTCAACGATTCAAAAGTTGCATGCTTCAAGTAGCAGGGTGACCAAAACTAACAAGCATCCCACTTGTTGGAGCCTAGTCGCTGTAGAACCCACTTTCAATATCGAAGAACTTGCACAGAAAGTATTTTGGGACAACTTTGCAATCTTGGGGGATAGGTGTAGGCACTGGATGGATTCCGTTGCAGAGGACCCATCTTCCGCCACTACCAGCCTTACCTCAGTTGGTCTCGCTGCACTTGCTGTTGTCCACAAAGATCCTGACATGATGGATTTGGCGCGAAGAAAATACAACTTTGCGATAAGGGTCCTTACTAAAGCAATCATTGGCGACCGGGACTCTGGAATTGAACAATCTATCGCTGGAAGTTTTATGTTGTCCATCTTCGAGGTTCTGTGCTCTGATATCCTGCTAATTCAAATTCAGGCTATTGGACTGACAGATGGTTGATATTTCAGATGATAACATGCGATAACCACTCCTCGCCACATGCCTGGCAAAAGCATGTCCACGGCGCTGCTGCATTCTTAGGCTATTTATGTTCTGCCAATGGTTTACCAGCCTCACCAGTGAAGGAAATTATAGAGATCTGCTACACTACAGTACGTTGGTATGCCATTAGAGAGCAAAGAACTTACTAATTACTCATACTTTCAAGGCACTTGCGTGTCTTATCAGTGGAAAAACGGTTCCACATTTCTTACTAGAATTACCAGGCCGCTTTGGAGCAGCATCGAATACTTCACAAGACAATGAGGATCCTTTGTTATCCGCAATGAGACTCTTTGCTATCATGGGCACCTTGGTGAATATTCGTGGATTGGCGAACCGGTGCCTTTTCTTACCCAGTCAGCTAGTTGTACTGGCCATAAAAACCGATCAAGCCCTCCAAAACTGGGGAACTTCACTTCCTGCGTCATGGAGTTATCACAAGCTTTCTAAAGGGCCACAATACATTTATCAAGACGTTTGGAATGCTCGAATGTGGAACTACTATCGCCTAGCCCGCATTCTAGCAAACAGGATGATCATTGACAATTTCAACATCCTGTCACCCTCAATGTTACCTTTCAAATTACAACATGGCCAGTCATACTCCACCATTTCGCTACTATTACAGGAGATCTACATGAGTCTGCCTTTCATGTTCAACTCGGAACAAATGCCTGCTACCTCCCTCCCAATATCGTCATCCCTTTTCTTCACGACCACCCTATTGCAATCTCTGTCGGAACTCACAGATAGAGATTCCCTCATTCAAGACTGGTCATTTCCAGCATATGAAGTCCTAGGAGAAAGGTTCGATTTTACCAAGGGCATCGTGATGCAGAATCTTTACTAGGCGAATTTTAATAATGAATTATTTCATGCTTTTCCGTATCAAACCGTATCGGTGTTAGAGCCCAGCCGATGAAACAAAAGTCAACAACGATTGAAATGCAATTTTCCTCGAGCCATTCGTCTTTTACAGATTTCGTTTGACAAGAAGTGACCTGACATGCTAAGTTTTGGTGCAGCTAACACAATAGTTACTGCAGCATCCTTAAAGCACCCAAAATGCTAGTGTCTCTAGAACCAGAAGCCCGAAGGGAGTGTATAAATTGTGATGGAATAGGTTGGGAGAGAAGAACTTCTGTCCCGTGTGGTGGGGCTTCCACTACTACATGTGAGAATTCGTGTGTTGACTACAGTGGTAGTGGCCAGTATTATGTGCCTAACATGAACGAGCGGAGAAGATTACCTGAGTGTGGAGGCTCAGGAAGGATTGGTGAATAGTCAAGATGTATTGGCCATCACACTACAAGCGAGAGGGATAGTATTTGTATCTCATGCTGGTGCTCGAGAGGACGAATTGCATAGTCTAACAAACACCACTGCCTATTAATCAGGGTTTTGGCTGATTTGCATCTATCGCCTTTTGATGGGTCTGTAGATAGCCTAGTTTGTAAGAACTCCAGAAATGACAGGTTCGTCCCTAGACCAACAGATTTATATGGAAGTGCTGCCCATGACCCTGCCTTGTCTATGAGAATTTGTTTATAGCTGGCTCCCCGAAATACTTTCGAAGCGGCAATAAAAGCTGTTATAGCCTTTTTTGGCCCCGGTTCCCAGGACTGGTTGTCGTGATGGGTGCGGGTGATGGATTTAGCTACATGAACGTGGGTTTTAGCTGGAGAGGTCTACATCCTGCGATTTCGAGAACCTTCCATATCTGTCTCGTTGGAATGTTTACCCAAGACGATTCAAGTAGAATATTAATTCAGTTGCAATCCCCATTCTCGTCCATCGTGTCGTCCTTCCGGTCATTCTTCCCATCCTTCCTGTCCTCCCCAAAACCATCGGGCCCACTAGAGGACCATTCATGAACAGTATCCAGACATTTGACTTTGAATCCCACACACTCTAAGCAAATGTTGAAATTGTTGCAGCCTTCACATCGGTGATATGAAGTATTAATCAGCATCGGCCGAGTGCACACATCGCAAATCCGCCCCAGATCCAAATTGACCAAAGACCATAGCTTATCATCACCAGCTTGAGGGATTCGAGCACCAAAGCTTTCTGTGTAGCACCGCTGGTGTATCAAACCAAGAATCCGACCGCGCCCAATTCCTATCGCCCACCAGATCAAGTCTCGACCATGTCCATCCAGGTTTGACTGCCCCCCTGCTAGCGTGATCAACTGTTCGATGGCCTCTTCAAAACCGTTTCTCGCAGCGGCTAATAGTCGCATCACACTATATCGATCCTTTGCATTTGCATGAAGACGCAGAAGAAGAAGTTTCACCATCTTGCTGGGGCCTTGTGCGACAACATAGAAGATTGGCGTGCAGCCTTTTTCAACCCGAATGTCAATCCTGAGCTTTTTAGAATAAAGGAAATTGTTGATGACTTCCAGTTGACCATGTGGTGACACATAGTGTAAGAGCGTTCTGTCATCGAAATTCCCGTTCTCGGTGGCCGCGCCCTTCTCTAGCAGCAGATTAACAACGTCCAGATTCCCAGAAACTGAAGCTATATGTAGCGGAGTCCCCATATGCGCGTCCACGATTTCGGTATCCGCTCCTTTGTCAAGCAAGAGATTAACAACGTCCAATGAGTTACCATATAATGCAAAATGTAAAGGCGTGACACCACCTTCCGCCACGCTGTTGATAGCCGCGCCCCTGTCTAGCAGCAGATTAACAACGTCCAGATTCCCAGAAACTGAAGCTATATGTAGAGGAGTCCCCATATACACGTCCACGCTTTCAATATCCGCTCCTTTGTCAAGCAAGAGATTAACAACGTCCAATGAGTTAACATATGATGCAAAATGTAGAGGCGTGAGACCACTTTTGGTCACGCTAGTAATGTTTGCTCCATTCTCGAGCAACATATTGGTGATGTCCAGTGAACCGTTCGATGCAGCCACATGTAGGGGTTTCTCGCCGTTCTTGTCCGCACCTTCAATTATTGCTCCCTCCTCGAGTAGCAGAGTAATGACATCCAAAAAGCCTTTCTCAGCAGCAACGGTCAGCGGTTTCAAGCCATATCTATTCGCAATTTCAAGGTCTGCTCCCTTTTCAATGAGACTTTTGACAACTTCAATGTGACCATTGTAGGAAGCGCGAAGGAGGGCCGTCTCCCCATCCTTACTCTGGGCGTTAATATCTGCCGCTCTATCAATAAGAAGCAGAAGAATGTTTAAAAACCCCCTGTGTGAGGTGATATGTACCGCGGTCCATTCTTTATGGTTCGCATGGTGAACATCTGCACCTTTTTCAAGCAATAGGCGCACAATATCAGTATGACCACTTTCGCAAGCAGCATAAAGAGGTGTTTCTCCGAAATGATCAGGGGTATCAATGTCTGCTCCTTTCTGAATAAGGAGCTGAACAATGTCTAGAAATCCTGCCGTAGACGCGTCCTTTACTGGCGTCCATCCGGATTGGCTTTGATGGTGGACATCTGCACCCTTATCAAGCAATAGGCGCACAACCTCAATATGACCTCTGTAACAAGCGCTAGAGAGAGGCGTCTCACCAGACTCATTCTGGACTTCGATATCTGCCCCTCTCTCATTAAGAAGCTGAACAATGTCCAAAAATCCTCCCCTAGACGCGTTATTTACTGGCGTCCATCCGGATTGGCTTTGATGGTGGATATCTGCACCCTTATCAAGCAATAGGCGCACAACCTCAATATGACCTCTGTAGCAAGCGCTAGAGAGAGGCGTCTCATCGGACTCATTCGGGACATTAATATCTGCCCCTCTCTCAACAAGGAGGAGAGCAATGTCTGAAAATCCTTCATCACAGGCGGTATTTACTGGCGTCCACCCAAATTGGTTGCGATGATGAACATCTGCACCTTTGTCAAGCAATAGGCGCACAACCTCAATGTGACCATTTTCGCACGCAATATAGAGAGGTGTTTCTCTAAAGGTATCAGAGGCACCAACATCTGCTCCTTTCTGAATAAGGAGCTGGACGATGTCTAGAAACCCACCTTTGGAAGCAGCAAACAGAGGTATCCATTCCTCACGTGTGGCCATCAGTTCAGGTTCCCATTGAAGGAGCATTTGGGCTACCTGATAATGACCGTTTAAACAGGCACAATAAAGTGGCGTTTTCGATCCATCAGATCCATTGTGAATTTTGGCGCCCTTCTCAAGAAGTAGCTTTACTAATTCGACATGCCCACTGCACGCGGCAGTGTGAAGAGGAGTGTGCCCATTATCACCGGCTATTTCAAAGTCCGCGTTATTTTCTAAGAGTTTCTTGACAGCATCTAGGTGTCCTCTTTCACAGGCTGCTGATAAAGGGGTCCGTCCAAAGCTTCCTTGCTCATCAATGGAGCACTTTTCGCTTTGTAGGAGGAGGTCCATAGTATCAGGCAGACCAAGCCATGTTGCGTAGTATAAAGGGCTCATGGAGATGGTTTGGGCGGTTTGTCTGTCTTTACATTTCGACAAGTCTGGATCGTCTCCGCTCTTTGAAGATCCTACATTTTGTTCGTCGTCAGAAGTTGATGGGACTGGGTCTTCCTCGCTGTCGAAACACCTTATATTTTGTGACACATCATTCAAGTCGAACCATTCTTTCCACGAGGACCAGTTTGGATTTTCGATATCAAAAAGCTGATTCACACATTTAACCAGCTCCGGGTCATGTATATTTCCGAAAGAGGCGTGCTGATACCATGAAGTGGCGGCATAGTCCCGAAAAGAGCGGAGGACCTGAGCCCTTCCCTCCTCGGAGGTCTCTTGCCAAACTTCTTCGCAGTCCACGTAGCAAAGACACATCTTGGCAGCCAAAGTGTTCTCCATACCTTCTGTTGAAAATTTCAAGCTCGAGTTGAGCTGTAGTAGTCTCCCTTGCACTGGGAGGTTGCATAGCAAGTATTCCTTGACAGTGAAATGCGCCAAATGTACCGTTCTCGACCCGGGTTCACATTCTGCCTCTGGACTTCTGATATCAATCAATGACCCACACAGTGCCATAATTTCCGTTTGGATATAATTCTCGTTGATTCTGCCTGGGACCCCTTCAAATCTGACCTCATCACAGTTTGCGTTGATCAATAAGGCCCCAGCCATCTCACATACCGAAAGCGGCCGAAGGGCAAATGCGGCCCATCGTAGTAAAGCGATAGTTCGTTCTCGATTGTCCTCCGAGAGATGCGAGATTCCCATCCATTCTCGGTCGTAGGTCTTGTCAAGACCAGGAGGAGTGGAATTGATCGCCTTTTCGAGTTGTTTTGGACTTTTCCAGTCGCGCAGCTGACTTTCCTGCATCTGGACCCAGAGGAACTGTCCGTTACAACATTCAGCCAGTTTCTGAGAAATGTCCTCCTTTGTTGCCTCTGTCATTATTGATAACTTTTTGTTCACTATGGAACGAGAAAATATATCAAGATCGGGTCGGACGTCCTCGGGTGTGACACTGTGCTGGATGACAATAGCATCATTGGCACTGGACTCGTTGACAAGACAAGCCCGGATTTCTGGCTCATCACGACTGACAACCAAAAGTCGAGTAGATGTACCAGCGATTGCTTGTTTCAATGCCTCCAGAAAGTCAACGATCGAAGCACCATGGTTGGAGCCATAGTCCTGTTCAACCCATCTACATTCATCGAGGCCGTCCAGAACAAATGTGCACCGGGGTATCTTTATGACAAGCTCACGTAGGAGCTTTAATGTATCACCACGCGTTGCTCTCTGTCCTTGTTGCGTTGCAAATCTCTCGCGGGCTAAAGAAAAGACGACAGGGTGATGTAACAATTGCGATAGCCATGACCTAACTGCGATAAATGGGTCCCTTCTGCTTTCAAAGTCGGATGAAAAGAAAAAATGAGCAACGGGGTCCTTCGAAGTGGAAGAAACGTGGTCAATAACTCTCGCACATATGACTGACTTCCCAAACCCCGCATGACCATTGATCCAGAGGATCTTGGCACATCCAGTTGGGAAGTCTGGCGAGGTCCAGTCGAGGAACCATGACTGGCCCAAAACCCACTCGCAAGTGCCTTCGATTTTCCTCTCGGAAAATATCTCGTACAGCTCGTTCGAAGAGCTAGAGCCGAAAAGCCATGCATGTAGATCTCGCCTATATTCATCTAAAATTATCAAGCATGAGATAAAGAAAATCAACGGAATATGGGATGGGACAACCTTCCATCTGAGTCTCCATGCGCTTTACCAGATTTTCGAGCTCAGTTCGCCATACATCTGCCTCCGACACTCTGTCTGGGAAAAAAAAAAAGTTGATAAGCTTTCAAAACATTTAAGAGAGTGGTAAATGACCATTTACCACCAGTGGGTCTTCTTCCCATGTGTTCCTTTGAATCCTCGATTGGTATCAGGTTATGAAGACTTTCCACCAATTTGGAAAAATGATCAACTTGGGCGACTCGCTTAGCTTTGGTTCTGAAAACCCATCCAAGTTTCTGACGTTTTGATTCGCGAGGAGCATGCCGATGGAATAGTTGGTCTTTGGCAGGGTTCTCGTCTTTTCCCATCATCGGTGTTAAAAACGCTTTATCCTCATCATGGCAAACAACATTGATTGCCAAGAGGAGCTCTTTAACTGTCGACTCAATCTTTGGGTCATCAAGAAGGGTGTTGTGTACATATGAGAGCTCGTCATCTTCCAGGCCCACGGCCACACCCCATTTTGCGAGTCGAAGCTTTTGGGCTTTAAATTGAGCGACAAGAGAACGAAACTCGGAATCGTAGTCTTTCCACGAATCGAATCTTTCAACGGCTTCCAAGCAAGTACTAAATAGACCTGCAAGTCCTATAATTCCGACAGCAAAGCTGACGGGCTCCATGGAGGATATACCTAGGTATGGGTTATACTTTCAATGTTGTGATAGAAAGGTCCTTGGATCTGCTCGGGTAGCTGTGGGGCTGACCCCAGGAGGGGCAACCTTGGGACAACGTACTTAGCCCCGGACTAGTGGCTCTTTATATAAGCAAGGCTGACAGCAGATAACTATCAAATACTTCAAGAGTTCAAAATATAACTGCTAGAATGGCTACAGAGTCGTAGAGTGGAAATGAGATGGCGAGGTACAGAACACATCTCATCTGTATTTTATCACAACCAGAACATCCAGCAAAACACGCCTGACTCTTCCTCCTGTAAAAAGTAGCTTCTCTTTTGCTTCGCTATTATCTTCTCCCGTATACACCGATCATTCTCTGTTATGATCCGCTACACTGTCCCCCTTGTGCATCAACTGGAGCTTGACGTAGATCATTGGTAAAACAAGAGAGGAATAAATGGGGAGGGAATAGGTAGTATCACTCGTTGATTGCGTAATAGGGCCTTTTTCTACGATAAAGGTAGGCACATCGTTATGATTGGGAGCTGCTCGAGGGGTCCCGGACGATAGGCCGTGCATGGCTGCCTGTGAACTCTATTCATTCCACGAGCTATTAGCAGGATACCATGTGCGATATGCAGATTTTGTTGTCTATTTCATAAGGGCTGAAGGAAGAAGAAAACAGATGTCATCATAAATTTTGTGGTTTAGCCAAGCGGCCATGAAAAGACATACACCGGTCTTAGAACCAGCTATGAGGACGAATCGCCGTATTTAATGTACAATGCTTCGACACAGGCCGTAGGAGGCGGCATTAAAAGCGAGGGCGGAAAGTAGAAACAAAACGGGAGCCTCGGTGCTATGTTGTTTGGGAATAATGACATCAACCGAACGCCTGAGAAGAGAGACTTGATGTGAAGATGTTGTTATGAAGACAGTGGTAGAAGGGAGGATATGTTGATGGCGATCGAAGGAGGATATGGACCGAGGAGAGAATTCAAGCGAGGGCCTTCTGTTCCGACGGAGGAAGGGGAGGAAGCTAATAATTTCCAGTTAGCAATCACGTCTAATTGAATACGGATCAATTTGGAGGTGATAAATTCAACATACCTCAAGCTTTGTGTTATCGGCCATCATGCGTTGGAATCCAATACCGACACCCTCGATGACAGCGAGGAAGACGGCACACATAATGGCAGAGTTTCGGGCGGCCTTATAACCACCACGGATAGCGAGGGAGCCACCAGTAAAGAAACCAGCAATGATAGCATTATAGGGATCTTCCTTCTTGCGAATACCCTTAATTGAACAGTCGTAAATACTGAAGAGACCTCCCCAGCAGCCAAAGTTACCACCGAGAACGGGGGCGCGTGCTTTGATTGCTGTGAGCGCACCTATCCGGCGCTCGCCGTACGGACTGTTGCGGAATCCCTTAACACCGTGCCAAACAGCACCGCCAATAGCACCCATGGCGAAGGCACCGCCGAAGTCGCTCAGGGCAACCCAGGGACAGGGATCGCGCGTATGATCCATGATGTGTGAATGAGGTGGATGGGCGGAAAGTCGGGAAGAAAAGGCGGATCACCGGGACGGGATCAGTTGTGAAAGGCGCGAGGGTCGTAAAGCTCGAGGATTTAGAAATGGCAATAAACCCAGCGGTGACACGAGATAAGGTGGAGGATCAATGGGTTAAGAAATTCTAGATGGGGTACACGTGACCTTGAAAAAATGTCCCCTGAAAACTTTGCAAGGTTTGCATACAATTGGTGCCTCAGGTATGAATTACAGTGTCGGATACCAGATTTCACTTGCGGTTATCTTTATAAAATCGCTCTCACAATCAAGCACTGAAAGGGTTCACCCTTCTGCCAACCAACCTTCATACTTCGCAATCGCAAGCCCGGACATAAGAATCAAAGCACGATTATCCTCGGTCTGAATTTCAGCCATCTTCGGCCCCACCCCATCAAAGAAGATAACGCCATCACGATTCATCACGGCAACAGGACTTCCAGCTATACCGGGGCCGGCCAATGAATTGGATTCTCTGACTCGACAGACTCGAGCATCTTGATTTACAGCAAATGGTAGGTCTGCCGGGAGGTCCGTCGAAGGTGCCCAGCTATTCTGGAACTCCCAAATCAACTTTTTCAACGGCACATCTTGATCTCGGTGATCATCTGCACGCTTGAATTGATAATGTTCGCTATCGAATTCGATCCAGTGCCAGCGCTCGCCGTTTGGCAAGAGCACGTATCCCCGGTGGCAGTTGCACACTTTGCAACCATACCAAGGAGGGGCGTCAACATCAACACCGGCTACTAAGCCTTCTGTACTGAATAAAATAGCATCTGTGTCCTTTGTTTTTAAAGCCTCCATGTCATCTTCGTATGCTGTCACAAGGAAGTCGGTCTTGTTTCTGAGCTTAATAGGGTCGGGCCCTAGCTGTGTAAGAGAGGTACCGAAAAGTCCTGGACGCCAGATGTTGAAGATTGGCCATACAGAGCCCTTGTCCCAATTGGCACATTGATTGATCTGTAAGGATAGCCGCGGCGCCAAGGAGACAAATGATAGACAAAAATTGGTATTGACAATCGAAGGGCGGTCTGGTCGCGATATGCCATAGTACTCAACGCATCTAGGCTCCGACGGGGCTGAAGAATGACCTGGGTCGGCTCTAGAATCATATTTAGATTAGCTTGTCCTTATGGACTGGGCAGTGATGTAGGGTAGCTTTACCTTGGGATCATCTGCTCACTAACAGCGTTAGACATCGTTTCTAGAAGTTGAGGGTGTTGACAGGGCGCGTAAAAATGACCGATACACCAGAAGTTCACAGGGAATCGGCAAACACTTATAACAGGACCTTTTCAGGGCTGAAAGTCGCAAAGAACAGATAACCCTCACGGAGCCGCAGGGTATGATGCGTGGGGGCCAGATTAATGGGACGGGGCCGAATCTTTTTCCCCTAGGTACCAGTCAGTGTTTTTAGTTTGAGACCCAATAAAGGTTCAGGTTTTGTAGCCATTTTGAACCTTTCAAGGGCTGGATGATCAAGTCCTAACAAAGTCTGCTATTTTAAGCGATGCAGTTCTAGTGCGTGATTTAATAGGAGTTTGTATAGAACTTCCAGTCCCTTATCTGAGTTGTTTGGATGAAATGTGCTATGCAGTTTTGTATTCGTGGTGCCTTTCGGCCAGACCCAACAGTCCACATCCAATGATATATCACTGTAGCCTGGCTGAGCGGTCTGTGTTGTGTGGGCAGTGCACAGACCGAAAGGAGTTCTTACCCGGCTCTAACCCTTATTCCCACCTTTATTTTATGTCTTGTATCAACGGTTCTACTATATTATTCATCCTTACCCCTATAGCTAACGCTTCTGAGGTCTGCTTGGACGCCGACTGTAACCTATAACATCAATGCCTATGGCACATAGGCAATGGATCCTCGCAAATCAGAGGCTGATTGGGGTCAGGCCTTGGCCCGGTAGAAAGTGATGCTCTACATCCGGGATGTCTATGAATTTGGCCATACCATCACCTACTAGCACGCAAATCGGGAAAAGAACAGGTCTATAATACCTCATAGGCCACATCAGTTTCCAAGCTAAAATGAATTTGAATAAATTCCTAACAAAATTTAATACAAAGTTCTAGATAATGAAAAAGAATAACGATACAGCTCATGGAAACCAAGATGACATCCCAGACAGCCTTCAAACAGCAGCCTCAGACTTAGGGGGCCATTTGACACGCTTCTGGGCACGGACATACAAATTGTTCGGGCGGATAAGCTGGAACATCGGATCGTATTCAATGGGCCCGTCACCCTCGCGAACAAATTTGTAGTTGTAGATCAGCTTTGGGAGGAAGACCTTGATCTCCTGAAGCGCAAAGTTGAAGCCGATGCACATACGTGCACCGGCACCGAATGGTACGTAGGAGGCCTTGTGCCTATTCTTCACCTCCGGCGTGTCCCAACGGTCAGGGTTGAACTTGTAGGGGTTATCCCAGATATCAGGATTGTTGTGAATGTGGTGAATAGCAGGGATAATAACTGAGTCCTTAGGAAGTTTATAACCCCCAGGAAGAACAAGGTCGGTCTTTGCAGTACGTCCAGGTTGGAAGGATGGGTTGTGCTTGCGTTGCATCTCCTTAATATACTTGTCTTGGAAAAGCAGACGCTCAGTGAAATCGGCAGTGATCTCGGTTTCGTCGTTGAAATCATTGTCAATCAGCTCCTGGAGAAGTCTCTCCTGCATTCCCGGGTACGTAACCAGGCCGTAGATAAGCCACGAAAGCAGAGAGCTTGTTGTGGTGAAGCCAGCGGCAGTAGCAACGACAAGAGCCCAGACGAGACTTTCTTTTGGCAGTTTCTCGCCCTTACTATCAGTGGCACGAATAGCGTAGTCTATATTACAGTATTGTTAGTTATTAATAATAAGTAAAAGAGAAATATAAAAATACTCACCAACCATGTTTGATGCTTTCAATGCGGCATCTTGTAGAGGAAGATCATCTTCACCACCTCTAGCAGCATTCTGGATAGACTCCTCAACCATACCCTCAATGCGGCTCTTAATATCCTTTAGGCGCTTAGGATCACCAAAGGGCAGACTGCTATACCAATCACCCTTAGAAGTGACCTTCTTATTCAAAGAGAGCATCTCAGCAATCAAATGAACCATATCGTGGACAGGTGCGTCAGACGAAGTAAAGTGCTCGAAGTCCAAGCCAAGAGTGAGTTTGCCGACAGCCTGAGAACCGAGTTTCAACATGTATTGGTAGACATTCCAGGCTTCACCTTCTTCATCCAGCTTATCGAAGACTTTGCAGGCATCTTCGACGGTCTTTTGCATAGTAGGTGCGTAGTGGCGAACTGCCTTAGGACCTAGTGCCGGGGGTAGGAATTTGTGAGCCACTCTCCATTCAGGAGAATCGGTATCACCTAGGAAGATGCCTGCAGAGGCGTTTTTCAGAGCATAAAGGGGATGGGCTTTATTGATCTCCTTAGTGAAAAAGTCGGATTCAGCGAAGGCAATAGCTGCGATGTCCGGGTTATTGGTGTGGTAGGTCACGCGACCCAAGCTATTTGTCTGCATGACGGCACCGAATCGCTCAAAAAGACGTTGATGATTGCCAAGGTGATCAGGGTAGATCTCGAAGAAGTTTCCTACGATAGGCAACCCTTTGGGGCCGTCGGGATCGCGGACAGCGTGGCCATCAATAGTGATAGCCACTAATCCTTGAGCAGAAATGATGTCTTGAACTTCGGGGAGGTCGACATGTTCAAACTGGAATGCAATTCCTACTTCCGTGTTAGAGAGTGTGTAATTGGAAGTGGTGTAATGCTAAATTCCGCCTCCCGTTGCTTACCATTTGGCTCGACGATAGCGAAGTATGCAGCAACCAAGTGCTTGAGTCCATCGAGGTCAGTGCTCGACTCGATCTCGACTTCTATTGCGGATGTGACTGGATTGCCGAGCAGGTAAAACCTTTGTGAAGGCATGACAGTTTGGTGTTCGTGGAATCAACTTTAAATGTTTGACTTGTATTGGTATAACCTTGCGCAGTTTCTGCGCGGTTTCTGTTTTATATATACGCCTTAATGATGGGAAGAATTCCTTCCTACAAGTTCACTCACTGGTTAGATCCGAGTGCCGAATATTCGGGATGCCGTTGCACCCGCCAATCGGCTTGAGGGAATTTACCTCGGTCCTCGCCTCGTCTAAATTTTGTATATCTTGGCTTTTTGAAAATGTGTCGTGGGATGACTACTGAAGAATGTATCTATATGAGAACGACTGTGCAGCATTCTATCGGCAACAAGTGGACGAGGGGAGAGAAGGAGAGAGGGGGAAAGAGCTACGGATGTACATATGTAGCACATGTAACTTCCGCACACAATATCTATCCCATGTTCTTTTAAGATAATCAGGAAAAATTGAAAAATTTGCTTGGTTTTTGGTTAATTTGTTAGAACAGTGAAATATAATTCATTATGAAACATTCAATAACGGTCTATTACATGCCTAGTCCTAAATGGGTTTGCGTTACTCTTACCTCGCTACTCGGTAAGGATTCTTATTGGTCGCCCTGCGCGTCATTGTTTCTTTACTTCAGCTCTCATAGTTCTTCTATCCGGGCCGGGACCTCTCGGCATCGAAGAGGCAGCATATCCTCGGAGTATGGTTGATAAATTGAGCGAAAAAAAAGTTAGACCCTACTGAATATATTTAAATCAGTTGGTCATCTACTTTGTTCCATTTTTTGGTGAAAGAGCCGAACAACCACCTACAGCCGTTAACTTTCCTATCTGACCATTTCTAAATCCAAGAACCATTTCACAGCCTCTCCCAAAAAGGACACCCTTGTCCTCTTCCGAAAGAAAAGATCATTGAAGTTCGTCAATGGCAGCCGATAAGGTGTTCAGTGTGGATGATGTCGCCCACCACAAAGACAGAACTGACCTATGGGTCATAATTCACGGAAAAGGTAATATTTGTCAGTCAATATGCCTATTGGAATGTTAATACCTAACAAATAATGTTTTAGTCTACGACCTTACTAAATATGTGCGAGATCACCCTGGTGGCGCAGATGTCCTGTACGATGTTGCTGGAGTCGATGCGTCCGAAGCATACGATGAAGTCGGCCACTCCGAGGATGCAGATGAGATCTTGAAGACGTTTTTGATCGGCACAGTTAAGGGTGCCCAAGAGATCAAAGCTCCCAAGAAGGTTGTCCGCCTCATCCAGGCAACTACTCCGAAGGAGAACACTACATCATCGCGTTCTTCCGCTGGCACAGTTACCTTGGTTATTGGCTCCGTTGCTAGTGGCACAGCACTCTACTTTGCTTCCCAGCATAACTTGAGCCTCCAAAATCTGTTATCAAAGCTTTTTCTGTCCTCCACAGCGTCGCTACGATCTACACCGACTCTTTCCTTACCGCAAGGAGGGTTCTTCACCGGATTTACTGCTGCTACCTCTCTCTGTGTCACTATTGGCGCCTTTCTTGCAGCCAAGCTTTCGAAGTTCACTCAGATTGAGTCTGGATTTACCAAATACCCTTCTCATTTGAAGAGCCAGCCTGTGGTGAAGGCGGATCCTGGACTTGCCCGCGGTTTCCTACAGCCTAAGGAATACCAAGCTCTTCCCTTGGTCAGAAAAGAGCAGCTATCCCCGAACGTCTTCCGCTTTATCTACCAGCTGCCGAACAAAACTGATGTCATTGGAATTCCAATTGGTCAGCATTGTGCTATCAAAGCCAACATCGACGGAAAAGATGTTGCCCGATCCTACACCCCAACCTCCAACAATACAGACCTAGGTAGGCTGGAGTTGGTTATCAAGTGTTACCCCGATGGCCTCCTGACTGGAAAGTATCTCGCTAATCTGAAGATCGGCGATGAGACTCTCTTCCGTGGGCCTAAAGGTGCAATGAAGTATAAGAACGGTCTCTGCAAAAAGATTGGAATGGTTGCTGGCGGTACTGGAATTACGCCTATGTACCAGCTTATTCGTGCTATCTGCGAAGACGAAACAGATACAACAGAAGTTAGTCTAATCCTCGCCAACCGCAGCGAAGAGGATATTCTTCTGCGAAAGGAACTCGAAGCATTCGCGAAGAACTATCCTAAGAACTTCAACCTCTGGTATATGCTCGACAAACCCCCGCAGAACTGGGCCTACGGCAAGGGCTTCATCACCCAGGCTGTTATGACTGCCAAGCTTCCGGCCCCTTCTCCCGATACCAAAGTTATGCTCTGCGGACCTCCTGGCATGGTAAAGGCTGCCCAGACTGCTTTGGTATCCATGGGTTTCCAGGCCCCCGGATCAATTACGAAGATGACCGATCAAATGTTCCTTTTTTAGGCTCATTTATCTTTCCTCCTTTCGTGCAGCTCTATCATTGCTTCTTTTATGTTACCATTTTTTGGCTATACTGGATCCTTCAAATAGATGTATTATCTACTACGTTCCTCTTTTTCCTATTCTAATATCTTGTTCTCGTGGATGAGTAGGACATACTTTTTTCTCAAAAGGACCCCAACCCTCCTAACTTTGGTGTGTATGTGGGAGGGAAGTTAAAATCAATAATTAGTAGTCTTGACCAGCTTAATATATCCAGCTGTAAGACCCCTACTGGGGTGCTAAGTTGCAAGAAGATGGATTGGGGAAATAGAGACTATCTCGATGATAACCTTATGATTGTAGATCGACAAAACATGGTTCACTCATTTGGCGTTGGGTGCACCTCGCTTGGAGACGCACTATGATGTAAATGCTTCGCATAATGGGGTTGCATGTGATGCAGGCATACTTCAGATGAATTCAACTCCAGGAATATCGAAGGTATTCAAGCCCTATTTGAGGGTCCTCTTACTAGTCTAGGTGAGCAACTTGGAATTTAAGGTTTTATCTACCAGCAGTCACCCCGTTGTATAATATTAATTAGGAACTAAACCGGTCCAACGAATTCGGCCCTTGTCATTTTTCAAAGCCATTCATAGCTCCTTCGTAGCTATCCCGGCCAATCTCTCAATAGGAGGCTCTAGTTCCTGCGTAGTACTTAGTTGGGACCTAGCACAGCAACGAGCAAGTGAATATTAGCCAGCCTGAAGATATCAATGACTATTAACTAATGCGCCATGGCCATTAGGAACTCTGATATTACCTGAATACTCCCCGTCGGCCCGACATTGAGAGGCAACAGTTCAGGTTCATGGCGGATCGGCATGTGGGGAACTTCGGTAATAACTTTATTTTGAAGATCTATCTTCCCGGGCCGGCGCCACGGGTCTCTCGGCATTTATGTACTCCTAGCCGAAGCCGATCCTTCCTCGCTTAGAAGTCGTCCTTCCGAACTTATTGCCCGGATTGTGTAAACGGGGACATGGAGCATTTAGTATATAAGCTGGTTACGTCGGTCATATTATTCAATGTGCACACTCTGGAGTTCAATCAAACTCTTAACGCTAAACAACCACCCCAAAACAATAAGGTTTCATTTAGTTTCTAGAAAATGACTGTTCCTACTGTTTCTTGGCTGCCTCCCACGGATTACGCCAACCGGCCGGTTGCCATCCTTGGTGCGGGTGTGCTTGGTCGTAGAATTGGTATAGGACTCCCATTTCCTCTCGAGTGCTTTGAAGTGAAAATCTAATCGCCGTTTATAGCATGCATCTGGGCCTCAGCTGGATATAATGTGCAAGTTCGCGACCCTAGCCCCCAACAACGTGCCGACTGTGTTACCTACGTCGAGGAGAATGTTGCCTCGTACGCCGAGAAGACTGGGATTTCTCCTGGCAAGGCAGAGGCATTTGAAGATATGAAGTCTGCGGTCGAAAATGCTTGGCTTGTTATCGAAGCTGTCCCGGAGAAGATCCAGTTAAAGATCGATACCTTTGCTGAGCTTGATGCATTGTCTCCTGCCGACTGTATCTTGGCCTCCAACTCTTCTTCTTACAAATCCTCCGAAATGCTTGAGAAGGTCTCTGCGGCTAGAAAGTCTCAGATTCTAAACATGCATTATTACATGCCCCCATCCTGCATGATTGTTGAACTTATGACCGACGGCTTTACGGATCCCGCAATATTTCCCTTCTTGGTCGAACGAACCAAGGAGGGGGCAACTTCACCATATGTTGCCCGGAAGGAGTCCACCGGCTTCATCTTCAACCGTCTTTGGGCTGCTGTGAAGCGTGAGACCTTGACCATTCTGTCAGAGGGAGTCTCTGTTCCGGAAGAAATTGACGCTATGTGGGAGGAGATGTTTGTCAAGGGTCGCAGCCTTCCTTGCAAGATGATGGACAGTGAGTACAGCCCGATTCGTCACACCATAGTTAAGAGCTAAAATATATGTGGCTAGATGTCGGCCTGGATACCGTTGCCTTTATTGAGGGCCACTACATTCACGAGCGCGGCCTGTCTTCTGAACATACCGTTGATTTCTTGAAAAAGAACTATCTGGATCACGACAAACTGGGTAACAAGTGTGTTAATGGTGGTCTTTACTCTCCCGTCGATACTACAGCCACCCCCCATGGACCCCGCATTGTTGTCCTGGATGTTGGCCTCGCTTCTGACACGCCTGGTCCCACTCAAGGTGAAATTCTTGAAATTACTTTGGACGGAAAGCTCAAGCAGGTTCTGGTTTCTGTGCAGAATTATCCGGACGGCATTGATATCGACTATGAGAATGGTCGGATGTTCTGGAGCACTATGGGTATCCCAGGAAAGGATGATGGTTCCGTCTATTCCGCCAAGACAGATGGAGCTGATGTTCGCCAAATTGTTCCTTCTGGCGTGGTGAACACTCCCAAGCAACTTGTTGTTGTGGCGGAACACAAGAAGATTTACTTCTGCGACCGTGAAGGTCTCCGTGTTTTCCGATGCAACTACGACGGTTCTTCCCTGGACTTGTTAATAGATAACCGTGGATCTGGATATTCCCAGGAAGTCCCAGAGCATTCTAAGTGGTGTGTCGGCATCACTGTGTCCCCCAAGCTGGGCAAGTTCTTTTGGACGCAGAAGGGAGTCTCCAAGAGCGGTACAGGCCGTATATTCACTGCCAATATTGAGATGCCTAGTGGCCAGTCCCCCAAGACAAGAGACGATATCCAGTGTGTTGTAGCGGGTCTTCCTGAGCCAGTTGATCTTGAGTTGAGGGAAGACACTCTTCAGCTTTACTGGACTGACCGCGGCGAGCTTCCCTTCGGCAACACGTTGAACCGGGCTCAGCTGACTGAATCTGGCCTTCTGGCGGAGACTTCTTCGCAGAAGCATGAGATTCTCACCAAGCATCTCCACGAGGCAATAGGCTTGAAGCTCGATACTAAGAAAGGTCACATTTACATGACTGATCTTGGTGGCAGCATTTATCAATGTGACCTAGAGGGCAAGAAGAAAAAGGTCATCTACTCTGATGAGACTCGTGCTTTCACTGGGATCGGTCTCCTATAAATGACATTTTTCTAACTTGTCAGTCGCTATTGCAAGCCTTGTTTCCCTAAACTGTGACTATAGAGATTGGATTGAGAAGTTATGTACATTAAGTTGTTTGATAGATTATACATTTCCTAAATCATACACTCCCTTGTACCCTTTTCCCTTGTTATGAGGCACTAAGAAACTGCGCTTTCTTGAACCTCGTAGGGTAACTAAATTGCCTACTATTCTCTTCCGATATTCAAAGCTGGTTGTCGTGTATCGATTGATATGATGCTCAAAAGTCGCCTTTGTCTGTAATACCTTTGGATTGAGAATGGCAAAATTCGAGTTGAGTGACAATGTGATAGTGTCGATCTGAGTGGGGAATGAAGAATCTAATCAACTTTAGACCTTGCCAAGGCTGCGGGTCAGGTTCGGCCCGAGACCCCAAATCCGCTAAAAACTCGAATTCAATGACAGTAATATATACAATATTACAGCACTATAGGTATATTTATATATATATTGTCCGAATGGGTGCCTGGAGTGTCAAGCCAGCATCTCGGGATGCGGGTTAGCTGTTTATAGCTAGGTCATTCAGAATATTCAAGTGTTCGATAAAGTCGGGTGTAATAATACCGTCACTGTGGTGTACAGCATAATTTACCGCGGCACATCCCACGTGACCCCGTTCCGGGATACTCGGCTACCCGAGTAAACGTTGACGCTTGCACAAAATTCGGTTCTAAAAAGCTTTGATAATGACACCACAACGCTACCGTCGATCGGCTATTGCGTGCCAAAATTGCCGGGAACGCAAAGTGCGCTGCAGCGTTTCTGTCACCGGCATCCCGTGTGCTGGCTGTACTCAGGACAGAGCCGAATGCATCGTCCGGGAGAGACAGCGGCGAAGGTTAGCAGGAAAACACCCGCATGATCGAAACGAGAGAAATTGCTTCACATGGGTTGATACTTATTCCATAATATAGAAAACAACAGACTGGATCACTTGCCGCTCGTCCTCGGGAGACTGTCCAGGTTGACCAACCAAGAGCCGAGCCAAGCAGTATACTTCTATCGCATCCGTTAGCTCCTATGGAACGAGAAACCCCCAGTATCGTATCACGGGCCCCTCAGGCAGGCCGATTAGACTCTCCTAGGGATGATAGAACATTTCGTTCTATCTCTGAGCGACATGACGACGCAGCCGAGTCTACTGGTGTCGAGATATCCTCGACAGTCTTGGGGCAGGATAACAAAACTGGCCGGATCCCTTTCTACACTGGTATCGTAGCTACTCATCGTCTTCTTACTTTGCTATTTGGGTACTGGTAAAACTAATTTTCGTAACAGGCGAGTCTCCAGGATATACATCCATTCTCGATGTCTTCACACAACCAAACCAGACTGTGCCAAGGCATATTTTGCTTTCACCGAATATATCGGCTTCGCTATCTACCCAGGATCGTGAGTTCCTTCAATACAAGGGTGTATTCACCATGCCACAGAAAAATACCTTTACCGAACTTCTCCGCGCATATTTTCATCATATACACCCTATCCTCCCGATAGTTGATGTCAAAGTATTCTTTAATTGCAACCAAGGTGTTCAAACCAACGAGTGGAATTTACTGTTACTATGGAGCATGTTCTTTGCGGCAACAAATGTAGGTCAATCCTTCATTCACCTGGCTATGGTTATCTAATCTCTGCTCATAGTTTGTTGGTGAGGATATTTGGTTGCTCGAAGGCTATTCCTCCCGTAAGGAGATGAAAAAGGCTATGTATTCTCGCGCGAAGGTAATTTGTTTAATCGATATGCTTTGTGGCAAACAATTAATGAAATTCTAGTGCATGTACGATAATGGCGGCGAGACGGACAGGGTAGTCCTTACACAATCGGCCCTCCTCATGGCATTCTGGCACTCAAAAGAAGATGGCCACGCACAACCATGGTACTGGATAGGGATTGCGATCAGCCTCTGTCAAGTTTTGGGTTTACACCGAGACCCGGATTCAGCCAAACTTAATTCGGCCTTTCCTAGTCGCCTGCGTCCTATCTGGCGCCGTCTTTGGTGGAGTTGCTTCTTCCGAGACCGCTGGTTGAGTCTAACGTTAGGACGGCCCATGAGGATCAATCTTGACGATTGCGACCAGCCGATGCCTTCAGCTGCTGATTTGCTGGGTGATGTCGCTGAACTACCATCGTCAATTACCAACGCTTATATCCCCAGTGACTTACCTGAGTTGGCTGATTATTGGATCATTCTGCTCAAATTGAGTAAGCTCTTAGGTAGAATTCTCGCACTTAGCTATAAGCCTTTGGGCGCAAGCCCAACGATCCAACAATTCGATTCCCTCAGAACGGAGCTGTTGCAATTCCGGATACCAGATAAAGCTAGACATGAACAAAGTCGTTTGGCAGCTTTCTATATATACCACTTACAACTCCATTACCAGTGAGTACCAAGTTTTATCTCTTCCTCGTGATTCGGTTTGTTTCTTACGATGACAGAGCTGCTTTGGTCACTTTCTACTCCCCTTACATCACCAAGATCCCGGAACACCTTCCACCTGCCCATGTGAAGGCATGGCAAAGTGAGATACGAAGTCAGCTGGACACAGCGGCATTGCAATCCAACTCTATTCTTAATGACCTTGTACGAGAAAAACTTCTCGCCTTTGCCGGTCCGATGACGTAAGTTCCTCATATCCATATCGCCAGCAGTTGTATCTCTATGCCAATTGCTAACGAGTCCTTCTAATCGAATATAGTCCTACTCTGTTAATACCGGCTATGCATATCCACCTTCATAATTGCAAATCTACAGATGCTCTTATGCGTCGTGTAGGCTTTAACAATTTAGAGCTATGCATGATGGTCATGGAAAGTTTTCAGGACACGTACTCAGCGGCCGCCTTGTACCGAGGCGTTTTCTTGGTCGCTATAAACAAAATACGCCACCACTTCTTGATTGAGTCGAGCCCACAAAATACGGATGTATCTGACCCAGCTACTTCACGCGTGGAACCCCCTGAATCATCAGCCATACTTCCCACGGTCAGCGACGATGCCCTCAACGCACTTTTGGATGATACATCTTTCCTCGACTTTTGGGATTCTTTCAACGTCACTTTCGATTCTAATTATATGTAACATTAATTGTTATTGCTGCCAACGCTTATAAATTACAGTCACCTCTTTTTCACAAAACAGTGGGTTTGAATTGAGCAGGTTAACATTCAAGGTCTTGGTCGAAGACCGTTATAGTCTTTTTAAAAACGCCAATTTAGCACGAAGCAATTGCCTATATTGATCTTCCTTGGGCATAAAATTGTTCACTGGGCGGAAAGTTCCTGTTCTTGCCGAATTCATCCGCAGCAAAAACTATCCGAGGTTTGGCTCAGGCTCGCACCCTTCCTTCCTCCAAAAGATTAACCCTAAGCTATAAAATTATACAGAGCAATTTATATATAGTACAGTCACCGGACGTAAGTATGGTCGGCTAAGCACTTTTCGAAATTAAACGAAAACAAATCACTAACAGTACACAGGTCGCGGTGAGTAGACCCGGTGCCCTTAACGGCAGAGCTTATAAAACTTCTACACTATGATAACACTCTCGCTATACTAACCCTGAAACTACCCCATTTGTACTTTTTCCTGTGAGGGTGTTATGTCGTCAAATCTGCCGAGAATAGACCTCAAGTCTACCATGTTGATGGGCCTTGATTAGTTGTCAGTGTCCACGCGCCAAGAGTGAGGATGTTGTTCTTAGAGGGAAATACTTCGAATATCACATGTTATATTGCTTTTCACTTTTATCCCCGCCGCTCAAGCTCTGCTTGAAGGTCGGCGATGTTGCTCTCTGCAATATTCATTATAACCTCAATTACGTCGGCATGTCCATCTTCTCTGCTTGTTTTCGTGTAGAAAGAAATCGCCTTGGCAAATTCCTTCTTTTCATTCACCCTGTACTCCACTGCATCTTCCCTGATGATCTCAAGCACGGTTTTGCCACCTGAATCGCTGACGATTCCATTCATCACATCCCCACTGATGTGATAACGTGCCCATACAGCGTCGCCGAATCTTCCATCGCGTATGGCTTTCACATATAGGCTAGACCAGGGCTCTTTGATCTGCATCCCGGCATCATTGTTAAGGACGTCTTGAATGGGGAGATCTAGGAATAGTTGCTCCACAGGCTCGGTCTCTGGAAGGTTTGTACTCATAACTTCGGGCATTCATTAGCTTGGAAAATATGAAATAGCAACGCTTAGGTATAGGAAGTGGCAAATACCTTCGGGCTCTCGATTTTAATATGAAGGGATAAAGAAAAATACGGAGTGGCAGTGGAGAGAGGTCTTATGAAGGCAAAGAAATGATTAAAGGTTCGGGAAACTGGAAAGGGCGGGGCAAGCTTCTTTGTCGCAGTCTCTTATTAGGTCAGCGTACCTACCAGAAGAGAGAATGGAGAAAGATTATAATACAGTACGATTGGCTGATATCTTCGTCTCTATTGCCCCGATATTAAAAGGTAGATCAATGTAGTAGGACACTGCCTAGTTACTTCTATCAATAACTTCTAGTTAGTGCTGTGTCCCGAATAAGTCCATTCGGGTTTGTTCTCAGTGGCGCTTTGCATGTTGGATTTGTAGAATCTAATAATATGGCAATGTAGTTTGTGATCTCTTTTCTCTACAGCTCAACTTCATAGGCTTGAGTATTGTGCAGTATATAAGAACATAGAGTCCTCCCGAGGTTTTCTCAACATTGCACGATTTTAAGCAGGAATCAAATGGCCGTAATCCACTCCAACGACCGGTGGGATTCTGCGCTACACATTCGGTGGGATTTCCCTATATAGTCAGCTGCCTGGAGTTGTCTCAGCCGCGCAAAGTCTGGACATAAGCAGACTACAACTTAGTTGGTCAGGAACTTTGGCTGAGACTTGTTTTTGCCCCCTGAAACACTGAATTTTTTTTTTTTAACTTATTTTCAGTTGCAGCTTCTAATAGAAGATATTATCTTCGAAGGGCTAACTTTGCAACTTGCTAGGCAGATGTAAGCATTGCATATCTTCACCTGGGCAAATCCCGGTACACTCCGTGTCCACCCCACCACGGAAGATAGGAGATCGTTCAGGATGGTTTCCCACAGGGCGATTCAGAAATTGAGCGAATTTCATTCTGCATACCTCAGCTTAGTGTATGTAATATTAAATACCCAGTGAGACTGTCCCTGTGCCACGGCCAATTTTAGGTATTGCATTTTTTTACCCTCATATTTCAATTCAACTTCATACTTCATGATATACATAAGGGAAGAAGAGAAAAGTCAAGAGTAGTGTAATGTCCTTGAAATATCACACACATGAAAGCTTTATTCTACAAGTTACACCCCCATGTACCTCCGCTCCGACACAAGCACTAGCCGAAGCTGCAGATATATTCGATCTAGGAACAACCAGATCGCTTGCTGCTCAGACAAATTTTGCGGTGACCGCCATTCTTCGGCGAGTACCCAGAAGTCTTCTTATAGTTACAGCACGGCGGTACATACGCACACTCGTCCTCGATCAGCTTAGCCACCGCATGGGCGGTCCAATAATTGAAATCAGTTCCGGATCCATGATAGGGTCCGACCCGGAGGTAGCAGCTTCCCCAGCTATAAATAGCTCGTCGATTACCAATGTAGGCTTTACTTTGAGACATATGCTCAATCAGCTGAAGACAGCCGTTCGAGTTGGCGAGGTAGTTTCTGCTGCAGCTGATACCGTATGTCTTGCGTTTTTCGATTTTGGAGATATCTTCGTCACCAATACGCTTGATCAAGTTCAACACTTCGGCGTGTTTGTCCGTGGTGCTAGTTTGATTGTAGAACGCTAGAGCCGTGGCGTAATAATCTGGCTCGTTCACCCTGTACTCGCGTGCATCCTCCTCAATAGTCTCAAGCACAGTTTGATTTGTGCCGTCAATAATACCATCTTCCACATCTCCGCTGATGTGGTAACGTGCCCAAACAGCGTCACCAAATCGTCTTTCATTGATGGCCTGGACGTACATGCTAGCCCAAGGCTCGACAACCTCCATCCCGGAGGTGTTGGTGATGACTTCCTGAACATGAAGGTCCAAGAATAGTTGTTCGGGAAGGCTTGGTTCCAGATCATTTTCACTGGTAGCTACAACGAGCTGCTGCGCTAAAGCAAATGTGGAGAAGATTGAGAATGCACGCATACTGAGGAACTTTAGATTGGCTATGTTCAGTACAAAAGCGTTGTGGTTCATTTATCTAAAAGGAATAACTGCCAAGGACTCTCTGCCTTTATATTACTTTGCTCGGGAAAATCGGCTATAATGACCTCTCGGGCTGCAAGGTACGCTAGGTGGCACTGGTATGCACTACTACCCTACACACTTATTTCCCCCGCAGCAGGACTGAAATGCCATTGATTTCTTGGGCCATTGGTTGAATCAATATTTAAAGATACTTTGGTGCCTCAATGGGCTTATTGAGAGCCAGGTTTATCAAACTGATTGTCACCAATCAAGCCATGCTATGGTAGCCGTTTTCCTTGAAACATAAGTACGTTACAGTGAGGTATCATAGATAAACAGAATATATTGATAGAATTATTGGCACATACCCCATGTTATTATGATACAACTACAGAAGGTCAAACGAAATTCCTAAAGAGTATACAGCAGATAGGCAAGCCTGACGGTGTATACTGTTTGCCGATCAAGATATGTCAGAGACTTGAAACACACTGTACTAGGTAATAATTGCAAGTTCAACACGCAGTAAGATAATACTACATTGAGCCCACGGAAATTTGAATTGACATGGGTACAGAGTACACGTCAGCCCTAATTGTGCTAGGGTGACGCTACCTGAGTCAAGGCGCATGCATGCTTACTCGACACTCACTATTCACAGCCCTGGAGGGTTTTTTTTTTTTTTTTTTTTTAGGGCCGTAGGGTAAATACATAGGGACGGTTGTTCACACTCTGTATTTCTATTCATATATTTCAACCAACCACTTTGCAACCCTTATCAAGGGTTATACATAGAAAGGTAATTTGAGCATTTTTTTCCATTCTTCTACCGACAAGCCTTGAGAAGGGGGATAACATTTCTAAAAAGAAAAATGGACATTTAAAAAGACCACCAAAAAGATATGACAAGGCATAAGCGGTCGACTATACTTGTTACAAAATAAATGGAACATTCATGCTTAAACCTTGATTGGATACCTTGTTAATTACTTAAAAAAGAGAAAATATACAAAGATAGAAAATAACACTAACACCATTTCGTAGCTTTCAAAGTCCCTAATACTGATAATGGTTTGTAATCTTTTCTCATCAGCTCCCTGGCCAGGTGTTTCCCCCACTCAACAGCTGTCCGGTGCCAGTTTGTCCATCTCCTTCAACAATCTCCATCGGAATCTTCTTCAAGGTGATCAAAGTCTTCCTGGCGAGGCTCGACCTTTTGTGCGGATGTTTCATTGTCTTCCAAATCCTTGACGATATTCTCGAGTCGATATTGACGCCGCTGGGAGATGGTGGAGTAGTGCATATGAATAGATGTTCCCATATGCAGGCCTTTGGAATCCCGCAGCTTGTTGTACAACAGTCTGAGGGCGATCTCAACATAAATCGGATGCTCTGTAGTCAAATCTCCTAGGTTCCCACTAAGATTATATCTCTCGCCGGATCTTCGATGGAGAATGAAGCTGACGATGACGAGGAAGGTTGATAAAGCTTTTAGGGGCTTATAACCTATCAGCAGGGACTACATCGAAGTGCATGGTACAATGTGGGATTGATTGATTGTTGAAGTTAAGTTACAGAACTAAGAAATCTGACATAGAGTAATGACACCAAGGTGGTGAACTAAAAGGTGGGCGGCATACATACGCGGGTTCTAGATAATTTGCCGTACCTCTAGTCCCATTCATATTACTATATACTCCGTACTTCTCCCCACTTTGACCCCAAGTAGGGATGTAAATAATAAGGCATCAAGGCACTCAAGTGTCGAGGCACAAAAATGTCAAAGCGTCAACGCCACGCCAAGAAGAAGGCAAACCACGTGAAGCTTACGGAGTACCAGAACTGACTCGAAGCTCTTACCTTATATTCTTACATTTCTTCTCAAATCAGCATGAGTGCCAAGGCAATACAAAGAGTCCCTTTATCGGCATCTTTCACCACTCATCCACGGCAAATCAGGAGGTCGTTAAGACTTTCGCCATCGGCTGCAGCTCAGACAAGAAGAGCTGATCATCGACTGTTGCATACAAGGTAAAGCCTCCAAATAATCAATTAGCTGTGGCGTATCTGACGACATCTCCTAGTTATAAAATAGCCTCACTACAGCTAGGTATGTGCCCAGCTACTTCTTAGAAGCCCCCCGGGGCTCTCCCATGCTTATCGGCGTATCATCCCAATGGGGAAATATCCCTGTCCCGCATTTTGCCTTTTTTTTTTTTTTTTTTTTTTTTTTGATTTGCATGTCTGCACTTTAGTCCAACGCTAATATTCAATAGGGTTGCCTTATCAATCCCAATTAGAATATACAGCCCAATTGGAATCGGGAATTCTCGCCAGAAATGGTCTATCACGACGTTCAATAACGTTGCATTTGACCCCGCCTGTGAGGAATTTCTCCACTGCGCAAGCAGTTGACTCCAAGATGAACTTGAAGTTCCCAAGTCCAGACATTCACCGGGCTTTCATTGCCCTGGGAAGCAATGTTGGAGACCGAGTAGAAATGATTGAGCAAGCTTGTCTTGAAATGGACCGAGTTGGTATCAAAGTGAAAAGAACAAGTTCATTGTTCGAAACCGCGCCGATGTATGTGCTGGATCAAGATCCATTCATCAATGGTGTATGCGAGGTATGTTAGGGAATTCCAAATTTGGTAACCAGTTGTTAATTTCCTTCAGGTGGAAACAACCCTTGAGCCTCTGGATCTTTTGGACGCTCTGCAATCCATTGAAATTGAGCTGGGAAGAAAGAAGCTCATTGATAAAGGCCCACGCTCTATTGACTTGGATATTCTACTATATGATCAGGAGATCTTCTCTCACGAGCGTCTCAACATCCCACACAATCTGATGCTCGAGCGAGACTTTGTATTGCGACCTCTCAGCCAGTACGCCCCCAATGGCTTTATATGCCATGCCGATATACAAAAACGCAAAACTAATCACCTGAATCTAGACTAATCCCAAATGAATACCCTCCACTACCAGGAAAGGACACGCAAACATATAGCACACATCTAAAAGCTCTACCACCACCAGAACCGACCCCAATGTCAACAACCCCAATATCACCACTATTCCCATCCCTGCACGCAACAGACCCCAAGCGCAGCACCCACGTCATGGCAATCCTCAACCTAACGCCAGACTCCTTCTCTGATGGCGGCAAGCACGCCCCAACAGACCTAAACTACATAACAAAAACAGTACGCAGCCTCATCGCCTCCGGCGCAACAATCATCGACATCGGGGGCGAGAGTACCCGCCCTGGCTCAACGCCAGTTGGCGCCGCCGAAGAGATCGCCCGCGTAGTGCCAGCAATCCGACACATCCGCACCTCCGTCCCCGAAGCCGCCAACATCGCCATCAGCATCGACACCTACCGCGCCAGCGTAGCAGAAGCCGCCTGCGCCGCCGGCGCAGACATCGTCAACGACATCTCAGCCGGTCTTCTCGATCCAGAAATGCTGCCAACAGTAGCGCGGATCGGCAAGTCCGTGATCCTGATGCACATGCGCGGCACGCCGCAGACAATGACAACCCTGCACGACTACCCGTCCGGCGTTATCCCGGAAGTGGCTGCTGAGCTGAGCGCGCGCATTGCAGCTGCTGAAGATGCCGGAATCCGGCGCTGGCGCATCATCCTCGATCCGGGTCTTGGCTTTGCGAAGATCCAGCCCCATGATCTGGAGATCTTGAGGGATTTGCCGAGGCTGCGTGCGATGCCGGGGCTTGAATGCTTCCCCTGGTTAATGGGCCCCAGTCGGAAGAGGTTCATTGGTCATATTACTGGGGTAAAGACGCCGCGGGAGCGCGTTTGGGGTACGGCTGCTACTGTCTCTGCTAGTGTTGCTGGTGGGGCTGATATTGTTCGTGTTCATGATGTGCATGAAATGTGGCAGGTGACCAAGGTTGCAGATGCGATTTATCGCGTTGAATGAGATCGTACTTGCTACGTTTCTTGTTATATAGCCTTGCCTGGCTGCTTTATATACGGGGGCCTATTTTTGTATTCAACACTTGGGTGTGACTCGTACTATGATGTACTACTGTTCTCTTCATTCATCATGGAGTTTGGGCTGAGCGGTGCGGGACTTGAGAGATTGGAGTTGTGCTTTTGTCAAACATTCTCGTCTATCAATAATATCAAATCATGAATTTCTCAATTATCCTAAACCATATCAACGAAATGAACAAAATAAAAAAAAGACCCCTTCTACCATCCTGTGTTGCGGTGTAGGAATGGGGAGAAGCAAGGGAAAAAGACAAAAATCGTCAATCACACGCCAGATTGCAAACCAGAATGATATGAAACCCAAGTTTTTGGCCGACTGCTGATCGCAATGGTTTTCCAGATAAAGAAATATTGTCAAGGGGCGAGAGGGGCAGGGGGAGACACAATATACGTTGCGCGCGAAAGAAGACGGGACTGGGGGTAGTCAGGGAACAATGTTGTGCTAAAAAGTGATAGAAGGCGTAATATCTGATGAACATGGACGACTAGCCTAGTTGTTCAGATAGTTGCGGATAGCACCTGGCGATATACAGTCAGCAAGAAGTGGCTACATGCCTAAAGAAATTCTCACCTTGTAGCTTAGTTGCACCTTCACCAACAAGATGCGACAGGTTCTCAAGATCATCTCCAGCGGTGATACCAAAGCGGCGGATGAAATCTTTAGCAGCAACCTCCATATCACCATAACCATCGTCAAGTGAACTGACTTCATCCTCGGGCCGGCCGAAGTAGGTGTTGCTGGAAATGGATGTAGCGCTATCAAATTGGCGGAGACGTTCCTTGGCCTCTGACTGGGCGGCGGGATCAAACCGCTCCCGTCCGAAGAATTCATCGGACGAAATACCCTTCTGAGCGCCAAATCGGGTTCTGGTCTGGGCCAGTTCCGCTTCTGTGTCGAGTGTCAGCTTATTTTTCTTATGTTGTACGATCAAGGTAGTATACCATCAGCAGGGTTAGGCTTAGCAGGGCCAACAGAGCCAAAGGTTGGCTTCTTGGGGGCAGCAGGCTTCGACACCTGGCCAAAGCCCAGTCTGCTCACACCCATGCCTAGTCGCTCCACATCACCCGAGTTCCGGTCATTGGACTTGCCAGCAGGGCTGATTGGGATAGGGGAAGCGATCGGGACAGCGGCGGCAGCTGTGGCCTTCTTGGCCTCAGCTTCTGCTTGCTCAGCCTCAGGGTCGTAGCCAAGCTTTTCAATGCGCTCGGCCTCTTCCTTGGCCTTGCGCTCGGCCTCATCGAAATCAATAATATCCGCAGCGGCAACCTTCTTAGCCCCGAGCTTGGGTGCCTTCTTGGCACCGAGGACACTGCCCTTCTTTGCAGAGGTAGCTGTAGTAGGGGTCTTCCGAGTAGCACTGGTGGGCCGGATAGCAGTTGGCGCGGGAGAGGCGCTCTTTTCTTCCGAAGCAGACAAGGGAGATTTCGAGCGGGATCCGTTTGAATTGGCGCCAGCGTTCAGGAAAGGAGAGCTGGTCCGGCTGACAACGGGGGGAGTACTGGTGCGCGATGGGGGATTGCTCGGGCGCTTGATCGAGGGCTTGTCCCAGGAGGAAAAGAAATCGTCGTCGCCGTCGCCAGTAGGGGTGTTCGAGCCATCCGAGGGAGTGCCAGCGGGGATATCTGTGATGATGACTTCCCCGGGGTACCTAAATGAAGCAAGAACACTAGTTAGCACATAGTCGCGCCAGTTCCACCGAGATTGGATCCACTGACTGTTGCGCATCCAGCGCAGCGCGCCTCTTGAGTTCCTCCTTATACTTGACAGCCGCATTGCACGTGTATTTGACCTTGGTGTCCTTGCTCGCCAGCGCAGCGGAACCTCCGTGCGATTGGAAATACTTGGTCGCAGACTCATTTCCGCCAACCTTCATAACCCGCAGTTGCTCCCATTGCCACTCTGCATGGAACGTCAGCGCCAGTCTACCGGTACATTTGGCGTGTAAAGAGATTGTGTGGTAGGGTACGTACGGTCGAGGTTTGTTGATCGGACAAAGGAGATGTGGACACCGAGATTACGGTGGTGAGCCGAACAATCAAGACATAGGTAAATACCGAATGGAACTGAAGACCATGTTGGGTTCTTAGAGCCGCAGTCGAAGCACACCTGGAAGCAAAAACATCAGAACCGAGTGCCACAATTATGCAGCGTACGGGGTGGGGGTGTGCGCACCTTGTTCGCGGGCTTCAGCTTGGCCTTCTCAAAGATCTTTTGAGACTGCGCCTTTGTGGCACTCATGATGGTACCGAGGATAGATCAATGGGGAAGAGGAAAAGAAAAGGGGGGGTTTGGGCGAGAATGTGAGCAGGTAAGGCAAAGAGCAAGCATCCCGAGTCGGGAACGGCGAACGTGGACTTCTCGACCCGGTGCCTGGTGTAATCGTCATACAACGCCTCCCATTTGGCCGGGGCCCCCTCTGCCACTGGCTGTACTGTAATACCGTATTGTAATCACGTGCCGGTTATCAAGATCGGTAGCAACCTTGCCCAAGTCGAAGATGATCTGAGTTCGGTATGCGACTCAGATACTCCAACTCCTTTCAAGACGCTCGTTTTTGATCATTCACAATGAGGTATATACAACTACGCGCGCTTCCCCGACTATCGCCGACATCTCTTGTCCTCCGCCCCTCTCCCCGCATTCAGACACAGATCACTCGGCTCTACGCCACGCAAAGCAACTTAGGCAGCGGGCCTCAATCTATTCCGTCAAGGAAGAAAAGCATTACAGTCTTGTCCGACGATGGGAGAGTTCAGTGGGGCGATTTGAGTCGAGGAGAGAAGGTTGCGCGGGCAACACAACAATCCTTCAACTTCGTTATCGTCTTAGCTGGAGCAGTACTGACGGTATGAAGTTCATTCGTTCACGAGGATATAGCGAACAGTCGCTGACTATATGATCTGATTAGGGTGGAGTCTTTACACTTTTCTATCTCGAGGTTTTGTCACCAAACAGCAAGACATGGCAATTTGAAACAGCGGTAGGGCGCATTAAAGATGACCCTGAGTGTATAAAATTGCTCGGTGATCGAAGAGAGATCAAGGCCTATGGCGAGCAGACCTCGAGCCGGTGGGCACGGAACAAGCCTATCGCGTAGGTTCTATGGTTTCCGCATAATACTACGGGGCCGTAATACTGACAGTAACTAGATCATCAGCTGAAAAGGATCGATTGGGTCGTGAGCACCTTCGCATGCATTTCCATGTATGATACCCTTTCCGATCAATATTACATACGTGTACTAACCGTGAATTTTAGGTCGAGGGTCCTCTCAACTCCGGCGTGGTCATTGTGCATATGATGAAGCCTTTGGATAAGAGCAATTTCGAGTACCAGCTTCTCGCGTTGGATGTGAAAGGGCACCCTCGCATCGTCCTCGAGAAAGCCTCAGAGAAGGCTAATGTGACTAGCGCCTTAAAGCTTTTTGGTATTCAGTGGCGCTGATCTGGTAGTGACGCCATCTTATTATATATACCCCTCCAACTCCAACTCCAACCACACTACATGGGTTCCTTCATCTGCGATGAGCATTTGAACACTCACAACCGCTGAACTTTTTGTTCCTGGCGCTTGCTCCAGGCTGGTCTACGCCAGTTTGGCAAGGCACCCCCCTTGTATTCTCTAGGACTTGGCCACTGGCTGTCCACCCAGGCTCTGATGATGACCTGTAAAATGTATAATAATTTCATGCGATTCTAACTTCAATGTGCCGATCATTCTATATTTACTACTTGACAAATCAAATTGATCCTGAGATCCATGTCTATTGACGAATTTTCCCAATTTTTATATTCAAGGAGTAGCCCTACTGTGCTAGTCTATGACCTCGGGATGTATACTTGATTGTATAATATAGAGACACCAAGCCATATATTTTATCATATTTGAATTAGCCTCATACTCTAAACGCAGTCTCGCTTTGGAACATGGCCAGATTTCATTGAGAATTTGCGGCCCAGCGCAAGACAGCTGTGCATATATATATCTGACAAAGCTCAATATATCCACCCGTGGATGGGTAGTAATACATAGTAATCTTTTGGTAAAGTTTGTATTTATATTCAGAACTAACATTTCCATAAGTACGTACCTTTTCTTTTGTGTGGTGTCTCTAGCAAAAGGTCCACTGAGTTGGTTAGGTGATCGATCCCCTCTCGCTTGCGAGGGTCTGTCCGTACATAATTGTGAAAAAAAAGCAAGGGCTGGTTAGGGCTGTTATAAAGCTATTTTAGGTCTAGCAAACACTACCTAACTACCTAGCTACACAGGTAGCGCTACTTTGACTAACGGAATAAATAGTTACTTCACGGATAATCTAATTCTAAGAAATCCAAAGGGGGGCGGGGGGCATTCGAATACGTTTCCCACTATCCTACTAGTAGAGTGACTAGTGTGCGTAATCCTTTAGTTCAGATTTGTTCCCATATATTTCATCTTTTTATTGTGCTTTGATTCGGTTCTGCCTGAGGAGGTTATTGTGTCGCAAGTAAAACCGTGTTCCCGTAGTAGTCGTTCTCTATACATAAACACATGATCGTGTAGTCAAGTCTATCACCAAAACTATACAACTCTGGGCCCATCAATAATGCTCTTAGCCTCCTCGGATCTCCACCAACTCTTTCCCTCCTGACCGGGGTACTCGAAAGCATCCATACTCTCAGCCTTCATCTCAACACTGTACCCAGGCTCCAAGGGGGTAGCATAGTAACCATCCTTGACGCTGGATGGGTGAACGAAGTGCTCGTGGAGGTGATCCACATACTCGAGGACACTCTTCTTGCCAGTAACAACAACATAATCAATCGTGCTCAGGTGCTGAGTGTACTCTGGTAGACCAACACCGCCTGAGTGCGGCACGATAGGCACGCCGAACTTCCGTGCCAGCAAAAGAATAGCCAAAACCTCGTTCACACCACCGACACGGCAGGCGTCGGGCTGTAGTACAGTCAAGGCACCAGCTTGCAGCAGCTGCTTGAAGATAACGCGGTTCTGGCACATCTCGCCAGTGGCGACTCCCACGGGGCCGTGGGGGGTGTTGGCCAGGGCTTTGCGGATGGCGGCGTGGCCAAGGATGTCATCGGGGGAGGTAGGCTCTTCGATGAACCAGGGCTTGAACTCTGCGAGCTCTTGCATCCAGGTAATAGCCTCGGGGACGGACCAGACCTATTCATTTGCCCAGTGTCAGTCTAAACCTAAACTGTAACAAAATCAATTCCAGGGAGGGATAACGTACCTGGTTGGCATCAACCATCAAAATATTACCCTTGTCATACCCAATAGCCTCACGTGCAATACGCAAGCGAGTCTTGTCATCTTCCAAATCTCCTCCAACCTTAAGCTTGAAATGCCTATATCCCTGCTCTACACTCTGATCCAACAACGACTTGAGCTTGTCCTTGCTGTACCCCAACCATCCGGCACTGGTGGTATAAGCAGGGACAGCCTTGCTAGCCTCAGCCTCCTTAATACGTTCCTGCTTACCAGACTCAACTTCCTTCAGCAGACTAATAGCCTCCTCGGGCGTGATGGCATCAGTGATGTAGCGGAAATCAATGCAACGCACGAACTCCTCGGGGGTCATGTCCGCAACGATGCGCCAGACGGGCTTGCCAAGGGTCTTGGCCCACAGATCCCAAAGGGCATTGACGACGGCGCCGAGAGCGAGGTGAATCACACCTTTCTCGGGGCCGATCCAGCGCAGCTGGCTGTCAGAGACGAGATACCGCCAGGTCTTGCCCCAGTCTGCAGTCATCTCGTCCAGATCTTTGCCAACTACCATTGGGGCGAGCAGGGAGATCGCTGCGCAGACAATTTCATTGCCGCGGCCGATTGTGAAGGTCTGTAGGAGCTTGGGTTAATTGGAGTGTTGCGGGTAGGTGATGTGTGACGTACCATGCCATGTCCGGAGTGTTCTGAGTCGGTTGTGATGATGCAGTAGGCAGAGGAGTAATCACCTGCTGCGTTCATAGCATCTGAACCGGTTTTGTCAAGCGACGTCTATACGTAGCTTGTTAGTATTGGGTGCATTAGGTGTGCGGAAATGCTCCGGGGGCAAGATTGACGTACCGGGAACCTCACGTCGCGCGTGGTGAAGCCAGTGATTTTGACCATTGTGAATAGTTGTTACTTGTGGTGGGAGAGATGAGTTTTGGTTCTGTCAATGGATAGCAATATTGCTGGCGCAAGTCAGGTCTAGAGAAACACAGTGGTCAATCTAGAAATGCGGGGAGTATATATATCCGGGGTATAGAGTCGAAAAGCGATTTCACCCTTCTTTGGCAGTTCAAAGATGCAAGGAACAGTAGGAGATGAGGGATATCAGTGAGAAAAGATTTCAAAAACCGAAAGAGATTCCACTCTGTATATACAGCAAATATATCCCCCCGCGCCATCTCCAGTTTATCCCGCGCCCCTCCCTCTTCCTCTGTCATTTGCTGCTAGACGCGTCCTCATTGGCGGAGAATTACAAATGCCGGGAAAATATGTCATTCCACCAATCACAGAACAGGTACTATACTCGGAGCTGCTCCGTGATTTACCCTAAGCTACGTGGGGAGGTTGCACTACATGTAGGCTAGACCGGATCCTGTTGGAAAGCTCTCCGAGTGTATGCGATTTTAGAAAGATTGAAATCATACGAATTGCAGCTATTCCTTGTGTACACGTTGTATTTCAGTGAAGCTTAGAGACATTAGGTACAGGGTCCTGTCTTTGATATGCAGCCCTATTACGAGGACAGACCTCGTTTCTCGCTCTCGGAACAGAAAATGATCATCCGCCAAAGCTTGCGAACAAGGACTTCGGCCTCTTCATCCAATGCCTATAGATAGGTGAGTGCGGTTAGTAACTTGTTTTACAAAGAAGAGGAATGAATGAATACTCACTTCGGCCAGCTGCTCCACCAACTCTTGAGGCGATCCATGCTTCCGCACATGTTCCTCCACCACATCCACCAGCATTTGTTCCTGTACACCAAGATATTCGACGATCTTCTTCTCGACGAAAGGCTTGAGCTGGTCGCTGATGACGGCATCATCCACAAATTCCCACTTGACCGCCCAGTTCCACAATCCTTCCTTCTCGGCCGGAATCTCTGCGGCGAGTTGACGGGCCGCTTGAGCACGTTCCTCGTCGGTGAGACCTGCAGCTTCGGCAGCGGAGTCGAATTTGATCGGAATAAGTTGCCGACGGGTTGTAGTAACGGGCTCTTCCTCGTCCTCTAGCAGACCTTCCACATCGGCCATTGCGCGACGGCTGGTCGCGGCCTGGGCCTTCTGCGCGGCGGCTCCAAGAGAGAGCTTGAAGCGTTGGGGTTCGCGTGGTGCCTCCTGGGGACGGGTTTCGAGCTCCTTTGCCTGGCGAGCGAGGAAGTCGTCGGCCATGCCGCGAGCTTGCTCTTGCTGCTTGGTGGATTGCACAAGTTCGCGATCCTCAGCGGCGCGATCAGCATCGTCAATGTTGGTTTCACGAGAACGGAAGCTGGCGCGGTTGCGGAGCCAGACACCGCGGTCTGCGTAGTAATCGACCGCCTTTCGGCTGTCCTCGACATCATCGTTCCAAGCGCCAAGTCGTGCTTCCATCTCGTCGTGTGCAGCTTGCAACTTTCCATCTTCCTCATCCTCGCGCTTCTTCTCTCTCTTAGGGCAGCAGTTCGGCTGCGCTCACGGCTAAGCCAGCGACGCTCTTGGTCTGAGAATTGCTTCTCTTGCTCAGCCTTAACCCGATCCTGTCGACGGCGTTCGATTTCGTCGTCGCTGGCATCGGAATCCTCGCCTTCGCGATCAATAGAGACTCCGTTGAGGGATCCACCGTTGACAAAAGCAACTCCCTTCTGATAATCCTTGGGAATCTGCACACCGAACGCCTTCGGACCAGAAGGTGCGTTCAACACATTGCGATCCCGTGGGCCCAACGGAATACCGTTGATACCGGCAGCAGGGCCACTGGGAGCAGATAAGGGGGGCGAAGCAAGTCGATTAATTCGAGAGCCAGAACTGCGTGCACGTTCCATCGACTCAATCTCTTCCTCGCGTTTCATACGCTCGATGTCGCGGCGAGTGCTTCGTTCACGGAAAGCCGAGATCTCCTTGGCCACATTGGCGCGCATCTCTGGGGGAATATCCGCTAGCTCATCTTCAATTGTGATGGGAATAGTGACTACTTCGCCATCCTTCGCAAGCTCGGCATCCTTCATTTCACTGTCGCCTTCCCGATCAAGGGCAGATGCCTCCTCCTTTTGAAGGGGGGATGCGGGATGGAAGAGGCTTGACAAGACATTATCCAAATTTTTGCGAGCAGCGGTGAAACGTGCCTGGCGTTCCTCGGGATCTTGTTCAGCTCGGCTAGACTCGAATTGCTCGAGGTAGGTGAGGGTGCCTTCATCGACGACGACCTATCAGACAAGTTAGAATGATTTGAGGAAATGGTAGACAATTTATACGCACCAAAAGCATGCTCTTTTCAACCTCTTTTTCCTCGTCACCTTCGGCGCGGGGTGTCTGTCTCTTGACTGGCACTTCCACGTTCTTCAAGGTTTCAACCGCAACCTCGAGACTCTCAGGGTCATCATACTCGGCGAAGCCAAATCGGCAAGGTTTCTCATCAGCATCTGTCGCGCGAATCCAGCGACGCAAGATACCAGTAGATCGTAGAATACGCTCAATGCCATCATCGCCACCTGCGCCCTCTGTAATTCCGCCGATAAAAAGCGTGCGCACAATCTCATCGCGTGTAGGTGGCTGGAGCTGCATCATAGGATCGCGACCATGATGGCGCTGGGTATCCATTCCCATTGACCCCAGACCACCGCGGCGCCCAGGAGCGTCGGATCCTCGTTCCCGACCGGTCTCTTGAGCTGCAGGCTTCGTCGGACCCGCGGTACCCAAGCGAATCACTGGCGCAGAAAAATTGATGTTTGGCATATTCGCAGGCGGCTGGAAGTTGGGTGGGAAGCTTCCTGGACGACCAGGCTGGGTATTTGCTTGTTGCATGCCGGGAGGAGCAGCAGTGCCTGGAGCAGCCATCCCTGGAGGAGGTGCTGGAGCTAGTCAGCCTAAATTGAAAATGAGATTATCGTGGGAAAGGAGCGAACTCACCCATGCCTGGAGGTGCACCATAGGCACCATAGTCAGGAGTCTGTCCATAAAGACCCGGAGCTATGTAATAGTCAGTTTCTTCGAAGAATCAAAGCTTTCTCAAAGGTCAAAGAGAAGGCATTGCTCACCTTGGTAAGGATTGTACATGGTGCAAGTCGTACCACTCAGAAAGTGAGGTTGATCAAGGCTCAATTCAAACCTTTGGACCCAATATCAGTTGCCAACAAAAAAGCACGGGCGGTGAGATATGCGGTGAATTGTCCAGAGCACCCAATGTGGCACGTGCCCGGTTAGCTGTCACGGGGACCTGCAAATGCCTCGTTACCTACTCCGTACACCTTCCGCATATCTCCTCGAGGGGCTCGGGATTGCTATTAAGGCCAATGTCGCTACTGTCAAAATAATCAAAAAAGAACATTACAAAGCATGAATTCCTGTGTATTCAGGTCCTCGGGAAGGTTGGAAGGTACATTGCAATGCATGTAGACTTGCAGTAGTGCCGTAGCTTTTTTTTCTTTCTTTTTCTTCCAGTTGAAGTGGTCCTATTCTTGTTCCCTTAAATATGACCATTTAAACTGAAAAAAAGCTATAGCCGTTCAATTTCCAATGCCTTGCCATACAAGAGAGCATTCTGGGGTTGAATTGGGTCCGGGCCTAGAAGAGTAAAAGCAATAGCCTACGGAGCAGGAGATTATAAATGGCCGAATTGGTATACCGGGTATAGATATTTTAGTATTTTAGTACCTTCGGAGAACAAAAGGAGAAATAATAATATAAGGGCTCCAATCAAAACAATAATAGCAGTAAAACAAGTCCCTCAAAAAACAAATAAAATAGGCAAAATAACAGGAATAACAACCGAATGCGGCAATGATGATGTTGCCCCACGACCCCCCTCGGACCCCAATGCGCCGGGTGCAACTGACGCCATTAGTTTTCTTGCTTTTTTGTTTCTACACTCTTTTGTATCACCCCATTTACCTTCCAATGTACGTTTACAAGTTTCTTCTATACCCTGAACCTGACTGTCCTCAACATTGCCTTTCTATTCCGCTTGCCCCGCGCTGACTCTCTGCCCATAGAACCCCTCATCGTCATCATGCCCGGCTTTTCGCAAACCAGCGACCTTCCTGCCTGGAAGGAGCTCCAGGAGCACCACACCACCTTGGGACGCAACCTAGTCCTCAAGGATCAGTTCCAGAAGGATCCCAAGCGCTTCGAGAACTTCAGCCACAAGTTCGCCAACACCGTAGACAACACGGAGGTTCTCTTCGATTTCTCCAAGAACTTCCTGACCCAGGAGACTGTCTCTCTTCTGGTCAAGCTCGCCAAGGAGGCCAATGTTGAGGAGCTCCGTGATGCCATGTTCCGTGGTGAGCACATCAACTTCACCGAGGACCGTGCTGTCTACCACGCTGCTCTGCGTAATGTTGCCAACGAGCCCATGGAGGTCGATGGCAAGAGCGTGGTTGAGGATGTCAACTCCGTCCTGGAGCACATGAAGGAGTTCTCCGAGCAGGTCCGCAGCGGCGAGTGGAAGGGCTACACCGGCAAGAAGATCAACACCATCGTCAACATTGGTATCGGTGGTTCCGATCTGTAAGCCCCCTGTCCTTCGTTAATCAGGAATTGTAGCTGACATCTGCACCTAGCGGCCCTGTCATGGTCACCGAGGCTCTCAAGCCTTACGGTCACCCTGACCTTAAGCTTCACTTCGTCTCCAATATCGACGGAACCCACATCGCTGAAGCCCTCAAGGACTCCGACCCGGAGACCACCCTTTTCCTGATTGCATCCAAGACCTTCACTACCGCAGAGACCACCACCAACGCCAACACGGCAAAGTCTTGGTTCCTCAAGTCTGCTAAGGAAGATTCATACATTGCTAAGCACTTCGTGGCCCTGTCGACCAACGAGGCCGAGGTCACCAAGTTTGGCATTGATGCCAAGAACATGTTCGGATTCGAGTCGTGGGTGGGTGGACGTTACTCCGTGTGGAGTGCCATTGGCCTGTCTGTCGCTTTGTACATTGGTTACGACAACTTCCACCAGTTCCTGGCTGGTGCCCAGGCCATGGACAAGCACTTCCGGGAAACACCCCTCGAGAAGAACATTCCCGCTCTTGGTGGTCTGTTGAGTGTCTGGTACAGCGACTTCTTCGGTGCTCAGACCCACCTGGTTGCTCCCTTCGATCAGTACCTGCACCGCTTCCCCGCCTACCTGCAGCAGCTGTCCATGGAGAGCAACGGAAAGGCCATCACCCGCACCGGTGAATACGTCAAGTACACCACCGGACCCATCCTGTTCGGTGAGCCTGCCACCAATGCGCAGCACAGTTTCTTCCAGCTTCTGCACCAGGGCACCAAGCTCATCCCTGCCGATTTCTTGATGGCAGCTGAGTCGCACAACCCCGTCGAGGGTGGCAAGCACCAGCGCATGCTGGCTGCTAACTTCCTCGCTCAGTCTGAGGCTTTGATGGTTGGAAAGACCCCTGCTCAGGTCAAGGCCGAGGGCGCTGCCGAGGAGCTTGTTGCTCACAAGACTTTCTTGGGTAACCGTCCCACCACCTCTATTTTGGCTCAGAAGTTCACCCCCTCCACCCTGGGTGCTCTGATTACCTACTACGAGCACGTCACCTTCACCGAGGGTGCCATTTGGAACATCAACTCGTTCGACCAGTGGGGTGTCGAGTTGGGTAAGGCCCTTGCTAAGAACATCCAGGGCGAGCTGGAGACCGCAGGTGAGGGTGCCAACCACGACAGCTCGACCAGCGGTCTGTTGCTTGCATTCAAGCAAAAGGCCAATCTGTCTTAGAGTGTTTTAGTCTTATATGAAGCACTGTGGGATGTGTAGTTTTGACGAGCAACGATTTTCCACATATTTCTCTTGGTTTGAAAAGAAATGAATGATTCTCAACAACTTTTTCGTTACGAATCAATGTTTCGTAGAGACTGCGAATCACTTTATACAATAGGGACCTTTGTGGTTAGACATGGTGTAATCTGAAGTACGGAGGTGGTTGGAAGTAGCAAGGGGAAACCCGCTTTGTTGTCCGTCCGCAACTCCGCAACGCGGTAAACCTCCGTCCTTGACTCCTGTGCAATCCTCGAACTCTGGAAACTTGCCGACGCGGGGCGGCTACCCTCCTACAATAGAAAAGCATCAATGTCTTCTATACGCCAATTGAGTCCGTCTTCTGCAGCAGTGGCACTGTTGTCCTTGGCAGGCGCATTGTGGCCAACCAGCGCATTTGCGGGGAACACGAATGACAACAACGAGGGATACAAACTGAGAGAGGACATCCCGGTATCATGTCTGAATCGGACTATGTGAGATCACTCTTCAATCAACCTCTGGAGCATGGCTAACTATTGCTTGTTCCACACTTACAGGGAAGGAGAACATGTAAGCGCCACCAGCCTGCCTACCGTCTCCTAACACAAAGACAGTAGCGCGGACCGCAAAAGACCACCAAGCTAATAACAACTGCGAAAATATCCAGGTCACTGATAATCTCGGCAAACTCCAATACGTCCCCTTCGTGACCTGCAACGAAACCGCCCGCCCTCTCTCCCTCCACTACGGCATCTCCGAAACAATAACATGCACCATCGACTCCCTCTCCGATGAACTGTACCATCTACTCGAGTTCTACGTCCACTCCGATGTCCCAATGACCTGCCGCGTGCCAACAGCTCCGCTAACACCATCCGCTGGCGCAGCAGACCGTGCGGACAAAGACTCGGACCAGAAGCCAGGAGAAGCAGACACCCTCTCTGCACTAGCCGACAACGGGCCACCTTTCACGCCGCTCACAGTCGCGCTGCAGGGCACGCTTCAGCGGAGCCATTTGCACATCTGGACGGATATGAACGTCGTCATGCACAACATGGCCTCGGACGCGGCCGCAGAACAAAGCTCTAAGACCCGCGGCGGCCAGTCTGGACAGCCCGGATTCGCAGTTGGCGGTATTGCATACTCGACTCCCGAGTTCGACAATACCGGCAAGAATGCCAAGCTCGACGAAGACGAGGAGCCTGTTGCTCTTGCTCAGGCGGCGCGTGAGCCTTGGACTGCCGGGCACGGCACTAAGGTTGTACGCGGAGAGCCGCTCACATTCTCTTTCCACGTTGCGTGGCTGGAGGGCGGTGCCAGCATTGGGTGGCCGATGCGGCCTGCTTTGGACTCGTGGCTGGCTTTGGCGACTGGGTCCGGGAAAAAGTCTGGATCTTTCTTTTCCAAGCTGGTGTTCTTTGTTATGGCGGCTTCTGTTGGCGCTTTGGCTGCGTTGTTCTGGGAGCGCAATGGTGGGCGTGGCCGTGGGCGAACCGCTTGGCATGGAGATGGGCTTTTGGGTGGGAGTCCCGCGCGTGGAGTGAAGGGCCCTGGTGTTACTTTTGGCAACGGGGGGAGGAATAATGGGTACGGTGGTTACTCTAGCCCTGCCAATGGCAACGGTAATGGAAACGGGGTTGGAAGTGGATATGGGTTCCTAAGTGGGAAGAGGGATTGATACAGAGAACCGAGAGGAACGAATGTATAGCCCAGGTACATATAGAGTGGCGCTTACGACGTGTACAGTGTACCTAACTTGAGACGCAGAATTGACCATTAGCAAAAAACTAGTGCTCTACATATCATGATGCTATATCCCAAGTGATCGAGTCAAACAAATCCGATGCATTCCATATCTAATGCAAGAGCCAAATTCAACAGAAAAATCAAGTACCTAGATAATAGTTGTACAAGTAACAAAAGAAAACACCAATTTTCAGGCCAATGCCACCTTGTCCACTCAGTCCATCACCCACACCAGCCTCTTCAGTATATACATACAAGCCGAGTAGACAAGCCGCAGCACAAAAGCCCAAAGCAAAAGATCAGCATAAATCTACCAACCCTGCGCCTGCATACGCTGAATCTTCTTCACAGTCCCCTGGAACGAGAACTTGAACAGCTTCTTCCACCGCTCCATCTTCTTCTGCTTGCGCACCATACCCCTTCTCACATGGAACCTCTGTTCATGAGCATCAGCCCTCACGCGATTCTGCGAAAGAGTACCCTGAAGCTTGCGCAGCGCACCAGCGAGATCAGTACCACGCTCAGGCTCAACATGAGCTTGACGGCCAAGCGTCGGTCCGAGCTTC